CCCCCCCCCCCCCACTCTTCTACATCCGACTCATCCTCCACCAACACCCCACCTACTACATCAACAAACACGTCGCGCTCAACTGCCCCCGCATACCGCCACGGCATTCGCGACCCTTGTTGACACCGCGTCCATTTCATCTCCCACTACTACTACCCACTCTCACGGCGCTTCTCCAACTGCCCGTGCTTGTCTTCCCTCTCCCATCCCCCCATCAACAACCTATTCACCCCCCCTCCACCCCTCCAAGCCATCCCCCCACCCGCCATCGCGTTGCAGCGCACCTCAACTGCACGTGTTAAGCCACCCCACCCCGTGTGAATCGCGTCTTAAAGGGCGTACAGGATCGCGGAGACCGTGCGCCGAGGAGGGTACAGAGACAGCGCGCGCGCGCACCGCCCTACCACCGCATCCACTCCCCCCACATCGCACTCGTCGCGCCCATCGCCCACCAGGTCTCCTGTCTTGTTACCTGAACTCATCGCGTCACATACTCATCTCGCATTTGACGCGCAGTTGAAATCCTCGACTCGATCAACCCACCGAATTCGATCTCGGCTTCGACATCGATATCGTCTTCATCAGCTACATTCACTTGCACTTCCACATCCAAATCAATACACGCGCAGCCACACTTGCGCTTGACGCCCGTGCGCCGTTGACACTGCACACACCTCACTTTGCATTCTTACAACTTGCACTGCGTCCAGCCTCAAAGACCTCTCAGCGCTTTGCGCACAGGCACTCTCACAATCTCCGTCAACACATATCATTACCCGTCCTTTGGCCACTGTTGCTGTCGCCAACATGACAACTCCGCCATCATCACTCCCTTCCCCGACACCGTCTTCTGGCTCCTCCCAACACCATCACAAGCCTCAAACCTTTTCGTCCATTGCCGCTCACAACCCGCACTCCTCTTCCTCCAACACCGCCTTTGGCACGTCCCCATCCGGCCCCAGCCGTCTAGGCGCCCCTGGCGACCGAATGCCGCCCCGCGCCGAGGCCTCTAACAACAAGTCCGGTGAAGACGCTCAGCAGAGTTCTCAGTCTCAGCCGTCTTCGGGTTACCAAAATACGTCGTCGCATTTCCTGCCCCCGGTCACAACATCGCCACCCCCTCACGCTCCGCCTTACGTTCCCCCCGCTCAACACGCCATGGCCCCCGACCCAATCCACACTCTATCTCTCGCCGGCCAACCTGGTAACGTTTGGGGATCAGCCTGGCGCCCAGGTCCACCTGGTGGGCCTCCTGGAGGTCCCAACTATGGTCAGGCAGCATACGGGCGCGGTGCGCCCAACGGCCATGTCACCCACCAGTTGCCGCCCAATCCCATGGAGGCGTACGGCCCCGGCTCGCGCCAGTCGATGACTTCAACTCCGGGCGTCGGACCTTTGAGTGGCATCAATGGCGCCCACTCGGGGCGCTCTGGTTCGCAGCCGGGCGAGCCACGCGATCGTCGCCGAGAGCGTCACCGTGACGAGGAGAGCAGGGACCGTGACGAGGAGGAGATCATCAGCACCATCTTCGTCGTTGGCTTCCCCGATGACATGAGCGTAAGTCTGTCAATTTGATTAAAGCTGACATCTTCAGGAGCGAGAGTTCCAGAACATCTTTACCTTTGCACCGGGTTTTGAGGCGGCCACTCTAAAGTTCCCGTCTGGCTCCAGACGCGAGCCTGCCGCCGCTGTTGCTCTCCTCGCAGAGCTGCAGCACCTCGCCTCCCAACAGAACGTTGCTCCTCAGATGGGCAACCAGGAGCACTCGGAGCAGCAGCTCGAGGAGACGTTTGCCAACATGAACTTTGGCGGCACTCAGTCTTCGACTGCCTCGAACACTCCTTCGGCGGCAATGTCGCTTACGCCCTCCGCCCCGAGTGGGGCTACGCTCGCCCCGTCATCCTCTATGCCGCAGCAGGTGCCTCCACGCCGCCAGACCATCGGGTTTGCAAGGTTCAAGACGCGGGGCGATGCTCTGTCCGCGCGTGACCACCTCCAGGGAAGACGCATCGACACGATCACAGGCGCCACCCTCAAGGCGGAGATGGCCAAGAAGAACCTTCACACGAAGCGCGGCGCGGGTGACAATGACCTCGTGGGGCTTCTGTTGCGCTCTGGCCGCCTTTCGCAGCTCGTATCCCAGCAGCAGCAGCAGCAAGCCCAGGCCATCTCGGCTGCCAACGCTGCCGGGCTTGTGCAGTCCAACTCTGGGCCTAACATGGGCCTCCAGAGCCAGAACCCTGGAGCGATCCAGTCGGCAAAGGAGGCATGGGACGCTTGGCCGGCGCCTGGTCAGACTACTGCCGATAACAAGACGGACAAGCTCAACACCCAGCAGGGTATGGGCTCATCGCACTCTAATACGTCCGGATCACCTCCCCTGTCTGGAAAGTCGCCCAACTCGCGCCCTACAGACAGCAAAGCACTTCTCGCGCTTGCGGAAGAGGCTGACGAGCTCGAGGGTTGGTCCGTTGGCTCTGTTGGTATGGGAGGCATGGCGCTCGAGGGATATCCCAACACTGCCTCTGGTGGTCGCTCCGGCCCGCTCTCGGCTGGACCTATTCATGGCCCCCAGTCTGGCATGGGAGGTTCTGGCGGGTACGGAGGGTATGGCCAGCACGGGTCGTACTCGTCTGCCCTTGGCTTTGGCGCTGGCAACGACAGCTCGATCGACCCCCGCAGTCTCGGCATCACTGCTAACATGAACCCGGCTGATCAAAACCCACCGATCAACACGCTGTACATCGGCAACCTGCCCGCTATCTCGCCTCCCACGCATCCCCCAAACTTCTTGGAGGAATCGCTTCGCACTCTGTTCTCGCGCCGCCCCGGCTTCAAGCGCATGTCTTTCCGGCAGAAGATAAATGGGCCCATGTGCTTTGTCGAGTTCGAGGACATTCCGTTCGCGACACAGGCCATGCGTGACCTCTACGGCAACACCCTCAATGGTCTCGTCAAGGGTGGCATCCGTCTCTCCTACTCGAAGAACTCGCTTGGACAGCGTGGCAACGCCCACCAGCAGGCAATGGGCGGCTCAATGTTTGGTGGAATCGCGCATGGCGTTGCCGTTGCCGGCATGTCCAACACACCGTCCGGCAACCAGATGGCTCCTGGTCCTCCCGGCCCCGGCTCCTACTCGATGGCCGCCTCGCAGCCTGTTCCGATCGGGCCGCCTGGTAGCCAGGGTGGGGACCGCCGCCCTACCGAGGGTCCCTCGTCGCTCTCTCCGACCGCCCAGCCGTTTAATGCTCCGCTGGCCACTTCGCCGAGAACACAGCGGTTCTACGAACCTGGCCCGCTTGACCGCCAGAACAGCAGCGGGTCAGCCAGCGGCTCGACGGCCTCGCAGGGCACCGCGATCCCGGGTGCCGGCGGCAAGAGCGAGGCGGCATTCAACTCGTTCGGTCCCTCCTCTGTCAGTGGCGGCTTCTCGCCCGTCTCTTCTCCCATCCGTACTCCCGCATCGTTGGGCTGGGTCTCGTCCTCGGCTGCTCCCGGCAGCTCCGGCAACACTTATGGCGGGTTCGACACGTTCGGCATGCAGCACCACCTGCCGTCGCTCAACGGCGCTGCCAACGCGTGGGGCCAGTCAAACGCCAATCAGTAAACCTCGAGTACATCAGACCTAGCCATATCCGTTACAATCCCATCGATACCCCGTCCCGACATATTTCCGACATATCGCGCACCCGCACGCTTGCTTTTGGGTACCAGTTTCCGCACACGGACGTCTCGCGCGACCGCAACCGCACACCTCACATCATACGCACAGGCACGCACTCACTTCATATCCTGCCGGCCCTCGCGCCGCAGGCGTAATCATTGCTTTCCACGTCCACGTCCGCATGTCACCATCTATCTACATCGCCCCTCCCCCATAGCTAGTCATTGGCCACTGGCCCGGTCACTGATGTGGCGGGCTGCTGAATATGTATGCATCGCCGCCTGGATGGCGCACTATCGTGAAAGTGTAATACGAGGACCAGATAGACATGAAGTCGGTTGCACGCTGACCTATTAGGTAGTTCCTGGCTGGGGCAGCACGTATATGCAGGAAAGGCACTACCCGCGACACCGGGTTGTGTGATGCCGCACCCTCTGATTCTGACGGCCAAGTAACATCTCTTCGTCGGCAAAGACGTGTACAATTGCTGATGCCCTTTGACGGTGTTGTGGTAAACTATCGCTCTATGGAACCTTCTGACTGAATAGCAATGTCGCGCGCTGGGAGTCATGACGAATTCAGGGAATCAGCCGAAACACAAACAACAGTTGTCGGGACACGAATGTTCGTTGTGGGAATGAGGGGATTACAGGTTTCTACGGGTTGGTATACACGGTACCGAGGGTTATGGTCGGGGGTGAGTGGTGAGGGCTGTGCGAGGGCTCTACGGATATGTGCTTGCGGAGGTGCGCGTAGCGTCAATGTGACGAGTTGAGCGTGGCGCCTCCTGTCCTCCTTCTGGGGGTGAGGACGAACCAAGGGGGACTACGAAGTGGTCGACAGGTAGGAAGGTGGGGGGAGCAAGGTATTGAAGAAGGTATCGGCCCAAGGGAGGGTATTAGGACGGGGTCGCATCGTGGTGTCGAAAGAGAGAGTTGATGCTCGCACGATGCGCTTTAACGAGTTGCGCTGGATTATTCCTCGGATCTGCCCACCGCCACTGTAGCAGGTGGAAAACGGATGCCTTTTACGTCGATGAACCCCTCGAATCCTTCAGTCAGCTGGTCAATTTAGACGAGACTCACGTTCACAAAGGTTCTTGATCCACTCTTGATCAATCTGGCGCGTCCCCGCCTCTGCCCTGACAATGAGCTTGTCGAACACATCATTCTGAGATGTTAACGGAGACAGCCGACGATGACTCACCCCTTCTAGCTTGTGTGACTCGCTCCTGCCCCCGACATCCCCGGCATTTTGGTTATTCTCGTTCGCCGACTGCATCTCGCGCTGCTGCAGAGCTGGAAGGTCGTTTGCCGAAGCTGGCCTCGAGGGAGGCTTGTCCCAGGCCCCGACAACAAGCCTGCCGTTCATTCCTACCTCCCAGACATTGCCGTAGTTGACTGGGTAGTGGGAGTCTTGGATGGGCCGGGGGACGGGGTTAGGCTCCATATTGATCTCTCCGAGGAGTACATGAACTTGAACTGGAAGGGCATGCACGACCGCCTGCGCAAGACCGGTAGCGAGAACGTACTGGTGGCGAAAGTACGCAGCCTGCGCGACGAGATCCTCTGGAGTTTCTTCGCCGCTGTACTCTTTGGACAGTTTACGAAGACGGGTGAAGTGCAGAACGTCAGAGGAAGGTCGTCTTGTTACGACTGTTCGACTCACCCAGTAGTTGATGTAAAGTGTGTGCGCTGCATGATGGTTATACCGCTCAAGTGGTGATCGGAGGTGGCGGCACACGGTGTCACTGTTGAGCCTGCGATCGACGATCACGATCCACGAGTGAGTTGATAAGACGTGAGCGACGCAACGTTTGACGATGTACAAATTGCGGGACGTGGGCGCCAACTGCTGAGCGGCGAAATAAAGGCCTGTAGGGTGCGATATAAGCGCCAGAGCGAGACTTAGCGCGTCAATCACTTCTCGTCGGCACGCCGGGTTCATCGGCTCTCTGCTGAGAAGAGGGCGGCCACGTCGGTCATGCCGACCGTACGCCAGAACCTCGAGTGGGGCCGCCTTCGGCGGGGGGTAGGGACTGAGTCGGAGGATGGGAGGCATTGGAGTAGGGAGCAAGCTGCTCAGCTCGCGGTGTTGGAGGAGGATGGCGGGTGGGGGGAAGGAGGGGAAAGGGAGGAGGGAGGAAGAGAGTGTTGACAGAAACAAGGCTGTGCTCTGAGAATGGACGAGTTAACAAGATAGGGCGGGGAAGTCTAGGTAGGAGGGAGGATCAAGAGAACAGAACGACGGAGGGTCGACGGCGAGAGACGAGAGATGGAGGAGAAACAGAATTGTGACGATGAGCGGGAGACAGAGAGCGATGAAGAGATGGGAGTGGGAAGGAAAGAAGGAAGATGAGACTCGCATCAATGGTTGATGAAAGTGTGTGTGCATGCAGACTGCACGTACGCGCGTCCGGCTCCTGGGTGTGAGTCTGTTTGGGTGCGTTTGTGGCGCGTGGTCCCAATCCCTACCCCAGTCCGGAACCCATCTAAAGAGTACATACACTGTCCTACAGCAATGCCTCGTCCCCTCTCCCCGCCGCCATGCAGGCTCGCCCCGCAACGCATCCAACGCCCAGGATGCACTACTCGAACCGCTTCCACGCAAATTTCTCGTACTCCTTGACCTTGATCCTGCGCTTCTTGGGCAGTTGGGGAACGCGTGGCTCGATAAGCGCGCGGCGCTGCAGCGACTGGAACCGGTCCTTGAACAGGTTGCCCTCGGGCTGGCGTGAGCTTCCTTCCTTCCTGCCCTCGGTCCACGCAAACGTACCTTGACCTGCCGCAGGCTCTCCGCGAGGTCCTCGCCGAGCTGCACCGCCACGGGGGCCTTCTGGACGCGGTGCTTGCCGATCTTCTCGCCTCCGGCATGCCCGAGGCGCTCGCGCGCCGCCGCCGCCGCGCGACGCTGCTGCGCCGCCAGTTCTGCGGCGCGCTCCTTCGCCGCGACAGACTTGGACAGCGCGCGAGCAGCGCCCACGTGCCGCTCCATCTTGCGGCGGATAGCGTCCTCCCGCTCAGCCAGGCGGAGGGCCTTGGCGCGCGCGGCCTTGTTCCGCTGCGCCTGCGTCTTCCGCTTCGTCGGCTTGGGCTTGAACCCTTCCGCGTCCTCGTCCTCTTCCTCCTCGCTCTCGTCCTCGCCTTCTCCGCCCCCAATCCGCATGCCGGCAACCATATCCTCGCCGTCCTGATTCTTCCGGAGCGCATCCACGACGCCGCCGCGCGCTTCAATCTCGGCCTGCACCCGCTCCTCGGCCGCAAGTGTGTCCATCTCCTCGGCGATCGCCTCTTCGAGGAGTGCCGCGTGAGCAGGTGCACTGGGGTTGTACGAGACGCCGGCGCGCGGGAGCTCAGCGGCCAGCTGTGCCGCGTCCACGGCGCGCCGGAGTTCACGCTGCCGCGCCAGTGTCTCGGGTGTCTTGGGCTTGACCTTGACCACGCCCTCGTTACCCCATCCGCCGGGCAGACTCAGCTGCTTCTCCGTCACCCACGGGTCGGCCAGCGTCTCAGTGTCGATCACCTTGATGGACGCCGACGGCGTGCCATTCGCCTCCGCCTTGAGGGCTGTCCTGCGAAGCCGCTTCTTCTCAGCGCTGGAAATCTTCTTCGGCGCAGCGGCGGGCTTAGCGCGCGAAGTCAAGGACGGTACGGCGCTGCGCTCATGCAATATTGCGAGCGAGCGCAGAGGCTTCTTCTCCCTCTTCCGTCGCACCTGCTGCGTCACTGCGGTCAGCTCGTTGGGCTCAATAGTCGATTAAGCTGCTGGCACGCCCGGCAATCACTACTGCGGAGTGGACAGCTGCTCGTTCCGACTCACTCGCGACATCGCCCTCCGTGTCAATGGTAAACAGCGCATCGTTGGACCGCGTCTCCACCGGCCCACCCGTCAGGCGCTCCTCGGCGCGCGCAGCCTCGAGCGCGGCCTCCTCGGCGGTGATGTCGACATTCTTGCGCCAAGCCTTCTTGCCCTTCCTGCTAGTCTGCTTGGGCTGCGCGGGCGCCGCGCCCTTCTTAGCCGGCCGGTCGTACGGCTTAGCCGCCGTTTTTGTCTTCGGGGTCGTCGCCGGCATCGGTGTTGTTGATGGAAGCAGCGGTGCAGATCTGATCGCCTTGGCCGGTGGAGGGTGGAGGCTGGGCGGCGAATCCAACTTTTATTAGTTTCGCGGATTTCCTCGCCTTTAATCCGGGCCATCCGCCGAGTCCCGACTTCGACTTCGACTTCGAGAGCAAAGTACATCGCACGCCATACAGCGACAACAACCACACCATGTCCGGGCTCATCTCGCTGCGCGCCGCGGCGCCGATTGCGTCGGGCTCGCGCGCATTCTCCGTCTCTGCGGTTGTCGCGAAAGTCAAGGGCGAGAAGGCTAAGAAGGGTGCGCTCCCCCCCTCCACTTTTCACTGACGGCAGCGGCGACGGGTGTGCGCAAGAAGCAGGGGACGGGATTCGGCGCCAAAGGCAAGGGCGCGGCGCGTGGCCCGGCCGCGCTGATCAAGGCCGGCGGGCTGACGCTGCGCACGACGATGGCGCAAGAGCCCGCCGACTTGTCCGACCTCGTACAGCTGTACCCCGAGGCGCTTGTGCCTCTGAACGCGGGTGCGGCGGCGACATTCCCGCGCGCAACGTACGAGCACCTCAAGGCGTTTGGGCTGCCGAAGCGCATCGCGGGCGAGCTGGGCACGGGCGGCCTGCCGGCTTCGGTGATCCGGCAGGCGACGCTCGACCTCGTGGGCTCGTTGAACGCGGCGAAGCGCGCCAGCTCGGCGGACACGCGCTTGCTCCTCACGGGCCCGCGGGGCGCGGGCAAGAGCATGCTCATGCTCCAAGCCGTGGCGTATGCGATTGAGGCCGGGTGGATCGTGCTGTACGCGCCGCAGGCGAGCAAGTGGCTAGACTCCAGCTTGCAGTACCAGTACGACGCGGACAGCAAGAGCTTCCACCAGACGGAGCTGAGCCAGGGCTTGCTCGCCAAGCTCGCGGCGGTGAACAAGGCTGCGCTCGCCAAGGTGACGCTGCCGGAGGCGCTGAGTGTCGGCGGGGAGGAGTTTGCCGCGGGCGCCAAGCTGGCGGACGTTGTCGCACTCGGCGCGAAGGAGCAGCGCCTCGCCGTGCCCGCGTTCGCGGCGGTCGTCGACGTGCTCTCGAAGCAGACGGCCGTGCCCGTCCTCCTCGCCGTGGACGAGATGCACGCACTCTTCCGCACGTCAGAGTACCGCGCGCCCGACTACACGCGCCTCGAGCCGTACCACCTCTCTGCGTCTGCGCTGGTGCTGGACCTCTTTACGGGCCGCAAGGCGTTTGGCGCCGGCGCGGTCCTCGGCGCGCTCTCGTCCAGCAACACGCAGTGCCCCGTCTCCGACACGCTGCTGCACGCGCTCGGGCTGCCGACTACGCACCCGGTGCACCCGTATACGGCGCACGACGAGGTGCACCTCGCGAACGCGAGCTCGGGGATCAAGCCTGTCGAGGTGCCGCTCGGCATGACGGGCGCCGAGGCCGCGGCCATGTTTGAGGTGTGGACGCGCAAGGGATGGGCGACAAATTGTGAGCTACGAACAGAGTACTGCTAACGCCAGCCGCCGACGACGTGTTCCTCGGCGCACTGAATGCGTCGGCGGGCAACCCGGGGGAGATGGCGCGCGGGTGGCTCAACTCGCACCAGGCCCACGTCTAGACACCGCTCATTACACATTGCATGCGACTTTTCATGGCTGTTCGTGATGCGGGAGAGGCAACGATGAAGGAGGGAGGGAATGGGTCAAGTCTGTGAGAACGTAGGTGGGAAGGTGTGTCTGAGGGTTGCGGAAGCGCCAGGCTGTGAATGCCACGCACGATGCGTGAGAAGATCAAATGCCAATCATGGGAGATGAAACAGCTGACAAGTCGATCGGCGCCCCTACTGTTCCGTGCGACTCGTGAAACGGGGCAGAGAGTTGTGGGATCAGCGGATCAGCGGATCAGCGGATCAGCGGATCAGCGGGCCGTAGCGCAATGGGCAGCAGATCTGACAGCAGAGCTGCGGGCTGCGGGCTGCGGACAAGCATTCATACTCCGGTGCGGAAATGCCAGAACGGCGCGCCCGACGCGCGAGCGATGCGACCGGCGCGGCCGGGGCGAGTCAGAGGTCAGAGGAGCAGTCCAGACACGCCGTCCCAAGTCAGTGGTTTCCGTGACCACGATGGAAATCAGCGGACCGCGGGGCCGACGTGATGAAGTGAATCCGCCTATCGCGTCGGTGCTGCTGCTCGCCGGGCGGCGGCTCAGCTTCTTCTGGACAAATGAGCCGCACCGATGTGGACGGGTGCAGCGCGGCCGCTCGCGGCGTTGCGGGTGAGCATGGTAGGTTGGTGCATGGGCGAGGGATGCACGAGGGGGTGATGGACTATGTGGAGGATCATAAACCAGATTGCGAGCTGCATGAGCTGACGCTGCATGAGGTGACGCTGCATGAGCTGACGCGCTGACGCGCTGCACTGACAGCTCGCATGACGAAATGCGTGGCGCTATCTGGTTATCGGACGGACAAGGCCGAGATCAGGAGCTTTGGGCGTTCGGGCGACCTCCACCGCCGATTGGAATTTCCCGGCTGTCCGCGAATAGCGCGAGCAAGCAGCAAGCAGCAAGCAGCGAGCAACTATCGCTCGCTGCGACATATGCCGCGTGCATGCCATGTTCCATGATGGCGATCTAAGCGGGGGGGGGGGGGGGGGGGGGGGGGGGGGGGGGGGGGGGGGGGGGGGGGGGGGGGGGGGGGGCGTGGAGGTGGAGCACCAGGATCCGGCCGTGGGGGGTGGGATGCATGTGACGTCTGGAGATATGGAGTGGATGTTTCTGTAATTTCCAAGGATCGGAAGGCTGGAGCAAGTGGAGGGACCGAAAGTGGAGGTGAGACGGATAATCACCCGGCCGGCAACGGCGTGCGCGGCATGGCGCTGATCGGCTAACTGACTACAGAGCTCTAGAGCTCCCGCTACACTTTTGCCGCGAGCCGTTGTCGTGTTGTCGTGATCTGGTGCATGCAATTCCCGCTCTCATCGGCCAGTCTGTGTGTGTGGGTGCAGTTCAACTGCATGTAGCGTTGACTGTGCGCCAGCGTGTGGGTGGACACTCGGGTGCAGGAACATGCTTGCCTCTTGTTTGTCACTGTCAGCTGTTGGGCTGCAACGCGATGACGACAAGGATGATGGAGCGGGTGGCGGTGGCTCATCAAGCAGCATCAGACGACGTATGGCTCTCGCCTATCGGAGCGGAGGCAAATAGAGATTGTCCGGCAAAAAGAGACTGCTCTCAAAGTGGGTTGTCCGTCACCTGGCCTCAAGAGCATAGGCGAGGCAGCGGGGGGGCGCTAATTTCCAAGGATTGCGAGAACAAGTCGGTGGAGGTTTGCAAGTTCTAGTAACTACGTGCGCCTGCACGCACCTGGGCGTGTTCCTCCGTCCGGCGCCGTCGGTCTTTGGTCGGCCCTTTGTTTTCCTCTGGCGAGATGCCTCGCCCAGAACGCTCGGTCGGGTTATCGGCCATGAAAGCGGTGGGAGACAAAGAGTGGAGGTGGCAAGGTGTCGCGGGCATGCCACCCCGGGCGAATGCATACCCGGACCAGTGCAGTTGCCGCGTCCAATGCCGGCGACGGGGCATGAGAGGGAGGAGGGAGGAGTCTCGCTCATCCCCGCCCGCCCCCTTGGCCCCCGCCCTCTTTGGCCCCGCCCGCCAGGTGGAGCATCGTCCTCCCACTCCACCAGTTGCTTCTCCATGTCGCTCACCCGCATCGCGCCGAGGCCCTCGCTCACGCTCTCACTCTTAAAAGCTTGCTCCATCCCCCACCCACTCCTTTTCCCCAATGTTCAGTCTACTCCAGTGCTCCCCTCCTCATCCTCACGCTCACGACCCATCACACGGCCGTACGCTACAAGCACTACATCCACCCCATCCACCCCATCCACCCCCTCGATTACCCACCACCACCTAACCCCCCTCGTCACCACCACCCCCACCATGTCTCTCCCCGCCGGTGTCCAGATCACCCTCCCCACCCCCAAGGGTGCCGACAAGATCCTCACCCCCGATGCCATCGCTTTCCTCGCCGTCCTCCACCGCTGCTTCGACAAGAAGCGCCGTGAGCTTCTCGCCAACCGCCAGAAGATCCAGGCCGAGCTTGACAACGTGCGTATCGAATTCCCACCCCCCCCGCCCCCCGCCCCCCGCGCCCTCCTTCACCTTTCCCCCCACTCATGCCGCCCACCTTTGTGCTAACCCAACAGGGCAAGCCCCTCACTTTCCTCGCCGAGACCGAGAACATCCGCAAGGAGGCTTCATGGCAGTGCGCCCCTCCCGGCCCCGGTCTCCAGGACCGCCGCGTCGAGATCACCGGCCCCACCGACCGCAAGATGGTGATCAACGCTCTCAACTCGGGCGCAAAGTGCTTCATGGCCGACTTTGAGGACTCGAACTCGCCCACTTGGACCAACATGGTCGAGGGCCAGGTCAACCTCTACGACGCCGTCCGCCGCCAGATCGACTTTGAGATCAACGGCAAGGCCTACAAGCTCTCCCAGAGCCCCGCTACCCTCCTTGTCCGCCCCCGTGGCTGGCACCTTGAGGAGACCCGTGTCATCATCGACGGCCAGGCCATGTCCGGCTCCCTCTTCGACTTTGGTCTCTTCTTCTACCACAACGCAAAGGAGCAGGTCAAGCGCGGCCTCGGCCCCTACTTCTACCTCCCCAAGATGGAGCACCACCTCGAGGCACGTCTCTGGAACGACGTCTTCAACCTCGCCCAGTCCTACTGCGGTGTCCCCCACGGCACCATCCGTGCCACCGTCCTCATCGAGACCCTCCCCGCTGCCTACCAGATGGAGGAGATTCTCTTCGAGCTCAAGGAGCACTCGGCCGGCCTCAACTGTGGCCGCTGGGACTACATCTTCTCCTTCATCAAGCGCCAGCGTGCCGCTCGCAACGCTGTCATGCCCGACCGCTCCGATGTCACCATGACCGTCCCCTTCATGGACGCCTACGTCAAGCTCCTCATCGCCACCTGCCACAAGCGCAAGGTCGCCGCCATGGGCGGTATGTCGGCTCTTATCCCTATCAAGAACGACGAGGCTGCCAACGAGCGTGCTATGGACAAGGTCCGCCAGGACAAGATCCGCGAGGGTAAGTGATCGTCGCCTTGCGTCTTACGGCATTCCACCACCTCCGCCTCCTCCACATCTTCTCCCCCTTGCACACATGCTGACTCCTCACAGCCAAGGCTGGTCACGACGGCACCTGGTGAGTAACAGACTTCATCCCAACGCTTGAGCATATTTGCTGACTTTGTCAGGGTCGCCCACCCCGCTCTTGTCAAGCTCGCCATGGACGTCTTTGACGAGCACATGAAGGGCCCCAACCAGTACTACGTCCGCAACGACAACGTCGACGTCCGTGACGTCAACATCCGTGACCCCAAGGTCCCCGGCAAGGTCACCGACGCCGGTGTCCGCGACAACGTCTCGGCCGCCCTCTCGTACTGCGCCGCCTGGATCTCGGGCAACGGCTGCGTCCCCATCAACAACCTCATGGAGGACGCCGCGACCGCCGAGATCTCGCGCTGCCAGCTCTGGCAGTGGGCCAAGTACGGCACCAAGACCGACTCGGGCAAGACGATCAACGTCGCCTACCTCAAGCCCATCTTCCAGGAGGAGGGTGCCAAGGTCGCCAAGCTCCCCGGCATCAGCGCCAAGCACGTCGCCATCAGCACCGAGTACATGCTTTCGCAGGTCCAGGCCAAGTGGCCCAGCGAGTTCCTTACCTCGGACCTCCAGCACCACCTCGAGGGCGGTGCTGCCCCCACCCCCAAGGCCGCTCTCTAAACGGTGTGTCGATGGACGCAGGAGGCTGCCAGGGCTGGCCAGGGCCCGGCGCCAGTAGCATAAGACAAAAGCGCAGTACGCAAGCGTGTTGTGTTGTATAGATAGGATGCATTTGAGCTTCAACGATCCGGCCGTGAGATAGGGATGTTCGTTGCGTGCCTGTGTTTTGTTCGTTATCATCTTGGGCTTGATCTTCATCTTCCTCCTCGTTGAGCCTCGTCCTCCTCGACTCATCCAGTCCTTTTCATATCTGTCGTCGTTTATCCCACCCCCATCCTCAGCCATAACGTTCCCACGCAGGATACCCGAGCTGCCCCTCGGCTCTTCAGCGCCATACCCGGGCTTGCCGAGGTCCCGGGCCGTGACAATGGTCAGCGGACCAGCGCCCAGCGGCCGGGCTTCTGCCAAGCCCTCGTGAGTCGCATTGTCGCGTGGATGCCATGCTTTTGAGGCATCCGTCTTTCAACGGGAGCCTGACTGAACAGGCGGAGTACACGCCTGCCACATACCCGCCGTCGGCCCAGAACATGCACTAGACGGTGTGAGACTCCTGCTGCTCTGGCATTGCTCTGCCGCCGCCGTGCGTAGTGATCTTGCCTCTCGCAGACGCACGTCGCACAGAACCAGCGCAAAAATTGGGCAGCCCGCAACCAGTCAGGCGGAGAGGTACGGAGCCGGGCTGCATGCTCGCTCAGGTACGCGGACACACGCTATAAGGTCGCCTGCGCGATTCGAACGCTGCGGTGGCGACCGGCGCTCACTTGGACGGTGCGCCTGCTAGCAGGATGCGGCCTCCGGCCCGAACGTGACGCCTTTCGTAGGGAGTAGCGGGCGTGATGAAGATGCGTCTATGCTGATTGCTGGGCACCACGCTGCTCCCCGGCTCGCAGGCCGCCAACCATCAGCGGGCATTGCAGCGATGAGCGTCAGAGCCGTCGTGGGGGTCTGTGAGAGCACTTCCTCATGCACAAACTGCGCAGATGAGACGCTGTCGAACCCATGGCCCTAGCTTGCAATGACAGAAATCTCGCTGCACTGGCCCAGCATGAAAGTGAGGTCAGTGTCGGTCCTGGCTCTGTGCGTCGAGTTGTCCGCCACCGCCCGACCCCCACCCCCCCACCCCCACCCCCATACCCAGGAGGCGTGAATGCTGTGCATGGTATACAGGGATACAAGCGTATCGTGACGGGTTACTTGACGCGGGAGAGGAGGTAGTTGATCTGGGTGAGCGCCGCCGCGTCCGCGTACCCACCGACGAGCTCTGCTTCTTCCCTGAGCCCCCGCCCTTCTTCATGCACGCGTGCAGCTGGCGCGCGGCGGACGCGCACCCGTTCGTCCCTTCGCCCTGCGCGCGCAGGTCCGACGTGGCCGCGAAGCACGCGAGCATCGCGGCGAGCTCGGCGGCGCACGGGGGTGGCGCGGTGTCTAAGTCAGAGGTGGCGTTAGGAAAGGGAGAGGAAGAGGGCAAGGAGAGATGTCCGAGAGCAGTGATGAAGGAAGTGCGACGCAGCGACGTCGAGCGGCAGAGATACCGAGTCGGATGATGTGTCATGCAGTGAGATGAGCAGAAAGGCGGGGACGGCGAATTTGCAGCAAAAATCACGGTCAGCACCTCTCCAACACCACTACGCATCCCCACTCACTGCGTGTTGGGCGGACCTTCCAGCGCATGGTTGTTGTTGGTGTGGTCGACACTCTGAGTTCGGCGTCGAAAAGTCGGACAGTCCGTTGCAATGTGGAGTTTATCCGGCACCCCACTTTACCTCCACCTCAGAACTTCAAGTCTCGACAACCCACGCGGCCACGCGGTCTGACTGATGCATATAGAATACATACATAGCGGGCACCTGTAACCCGGCTCCGCAGTCTGCCCTCTCCCTATAGCTCTCATGAACTCCCGTAACGCGCACACGCTCACTTGCGCCCCTTGGAGCGCTTGTTCGCAAGCTGCTGCTTGCGCTCCTCGAAGCGCACAGCCTTGCGCTGGTTGAGGCCGCCGTCCTCGCCCTCTCCGCCCTTCTTCGGCCCCTTCTTCCGCTCCGCCGTCCCAACCTTGGTGAGGATGCTCATCGCGGCCTCCTTCTCGCTCTTGAAGTCGCCGACCGTCGCCTCGAACTTGCGCTTGATGCCCTTGGCGCGCGGCTCGCCCTCGATCTTGTTGTCAAAGCGCCCAAGCGACGCCGTCGCCGTCTTGGACACCAGCATGCTCCGCTCGAGCTCGGCCTTGCGCACGGCCCGCGCGCTCGCCCGGCCCTCCTTGCTGCTCGTGACCGGCGCGGCAGTCTCCCGCCCCAGTGTAGACGTGGGGTTGGCGAGCGCGATGGCGACGTTGGCCGCGCGCTGCCGCTCGTTCTTGGCGACGCGTTGCTTGCGCTCCGCGCGCGCCTGGTGTCGCGGGTCCACCGTCGTGTCCGCGTTCGACTTGTACTCGTGCAGCCACTGCTCCTCGGCCTCGCGGTTCTTGCCGTCCCGGCCCCAGCGGTTCACCCACTCCTGCTTCTCCTCGTCCCACACCTTCTTGTCCTTCTTGCTGTGGCTGATGCCCTTGGCCTTGGCGAAGCGCTCCCACTTGGTCAGCGGCTTGGGCTTGGGCAGCGGCTTCTCGCGGGGCAGCTTGAACTCGGGCTCGGGGAGCTTGACGACTGGGCCCTGCTCCGTGCTCTGGGTCTGGAGGGTGAACAGACCACCGAGAAGCGCCTGCGTCGACGTAAGCGTCAGCGCAAGGAGGTGCGCCTCGCGGTTCGACCTAGAGTTAGCGCGCGTCGTGTGATGTGAACCACAGCAGTTACTCACGAGTACTCCTCGGCATCCACCGGCGTCGTGTCGTATGCCGCGAGCAGGCCGACATCCAGGTCGATCGGCGTCGCGCGCGTCAGCACATCGGTGCTGCGGGCCGCCTCAAAGTCTGCCAACTGCTGCGAGACGTCCATGGTGTGTGGTATGGAGCAGTATGCAGTGGTCTGTCAACTTGTGGCCACCCAAAACATCCCAGGCCGCCGAAATCTCAGTGGGATAAATGGCAGAAAAATTGGGGCGAATAAATTGCCACGGTGGATCGGGGGGGCTCGGCCAACCAGCCAGCGAACCAGCCAGCGGCCATATCGCCCTCGACCCTCGTCCCTCTGTCTCCAGACACCACTCTCCAACACCTTCCCATCGCATCCGTCTAGCTATGTGGCCCGTGAACGGTGCGCGCCGCGCCGAGCGCAATGCTAACAGTCAGCTACCCCCAAGATCCGCGAGCGCCAGATCGCTCTCCAGGTGCGTGCGCCGTGAAGCTTCGCCGAAGTCTCCGCTCTCCGCACCTCGGCTCCACTCGGGCCGCCATGTGGACTCGCGCTTGAGGGCATGCATGGCGGGCGTCGGATATGGGGACGAGGATGGTGGCGGAGACAGAGGCGGATAGCGAGGATGAGCGCCATTGCAAGCCAAGCGCAGCTAACGACAGGCCCGGGCTGGTGTTCCTTCTTACCTGAAGAAGCCCAACTCGAAGCTCTACCTTGGTGCGTCATTTGTGTATCGTCGCGGCGCGATGCTGATCTGCGCTACTGTTTTGCTTTCGTCTCGATCAAACGTGCACCTGTCCATGATGCCGCGACGCCGTCCCCGCGCTCTCCCCTCGCCATTATTCCCACCTCGGTTATTCTCACGCCGTGCACGTTCCTCGCTGCGCTCCGACTCCGCGCTCTGCCCCGCGCGCGTTCTTCCCCTCATGACCTTTCCTAACTTGTTCATCCCCCTCATCCTCTCCCCCAATACCTCCTGGTACCACTTCAACCTGTGCGCTCCCCTCACCTTGTGACTTACGACGCCACCGCACGAACCGCCTGGCGCTGCCCCCACCCATCACTTTGCAAAATAGGCGGCTTCCTCGGCCTCCTCGGTGTCGGCCTCGTCGGCAACATGTACTACCTTGTGCAGTACGCTCGCGTTAGTATCCCCGTGTTGCGTCCGAGACCTCTTGCTGATGCTATCCTCAAACCCCGGTTCGACGCGCCCAATTCTTCCGACACCTCCACTCTTTTGTTCTCCTTTCGCCGGGTGCCGCTCCTCCCGTTTGGCTGAACCTGCCGCATCTCCCTCCTACCACGGCACCCGCCCTCCTCTTTGACGGTACTTGCATTCCTCTCCGCGCCCACTTCATTCTTCTTGATGTCCCCGTTCTGCTACTTTGTCACTCGTGCACTTCCGCCAATCTCCTCTCGCTTGTTTCACCCAACAGGGCAAGGCCGTTGCCAAGTCCTTGGACTAGTTCTGAAATCATGAATGCATAGCTTCGAATGGGTGGTGTGCAGCAGAGTGGGTCACTGCGCGCATAAGTAGGTGACGGGTCGGGTGGATGAGACCGCCATGGCCGTCGACAACGCCGAGAGTGTGCAAGCGGGATGCGCACGGACATGGGTGGGCGGGATGTCGCGTGCCGCCCCACCTGTACCTGACGTCACATGAACTTCCAACACCATGTTATGTTCGGTCCCCGTCCGGGTCTCTTGAGTTGTTCCTCCTTCTCTTCTCTCATTACCTCTGCCAACCACTCGGAGCGAGGATGCCTTCTCGGCCCGAGCTCGTGCTGAACAGGCCGTCCTTCACCGCCTCTCCGCCGCCGATGACAGGCTCTCCCGCCGACTCCCCGGGGACGGATGGCACGAGTGAGTTCTGTGGCATGGCTTCCCATGTTAATCCAGCTCCACGCCAGTACTTTCGGCGTGAGAGCCTCGCAGTGGCCGGGGCCCGCCGCTCATCCTTCTACAACTCTTACTCGCCGAGCTCGCCCATAGCGGTCGCGCCGCGCCGCCGCTCCGGCTCTGGCTCCTTCGGCTCCGTGCCGAGCGCCAGCAGCTTCTCGGCCCGTCCTGAACGCCTGGGAACAGCGGGCTTCGGCGTGAGCTTCCGCAACGCGTTCGCCGCTCCACTCGACGAAGAGACGATCCAGGAGACGTCGAGCGGCGAAGTCTCCCCTGGCTCCACGAGCCCTAGAGGCCATCGCCCCGGCGCCCACTCGCGTTCCATGCCCGTGCCGCGACGTCGGCGGTCGAGCACAATCGGCCAGATCCACTGGCTCCCGGGAGGCGCAGGCGGAGAGACTGGCGACGAGCCTGGTGTCGACGTGCGCTCCGCCCGCGACCAGGAGGCGTACGGACACCTCAAGGCGCCCACCGCGATCACAGTCATTGACTACTCGTCTGATCCTGATGCCGAGGACACCAACATCCGCGTCGACTTCCCCGGCACCAAGCTCAGCAGCTGGCTCAACAGTGCAGCTGGGCAGCGCCCGATTGGCGACGACCGCAAGCCGCTGGGCGTCCGCTGGAGTAAGCGATGTCGGAGTACGCACGCTGAAGCCAGTCCACGTCACCGGCCTCAATTGGGAGGTCATGAAGACTCTGACGCTACGCTATCAGTGAGTCAGGACTGCTGAGCGAGCACTAACGCAGGCTCCATCCCCTTGCGGTCGAAGACGCGCTCCGCTCCAGCCGCTCGCCTAGATCCAAGATCGACTACTATAGAACACACATGTACCTCCAGATTCTGGTGCACCACATTCACGGCCCAGACAAGGACGCCCTCGAGAAAGCGACGGTCGGCCTTGCAGAGGGTGAGGATGGGAGACAGTGCTGCGACGACGCGGACCACGACCATGACCACCGGGTGGACGACATCGAGGCGGTGATGCCCAAGAAACAGCGCTGGTGGCACCGCAACCCCGAGGGCCAGATCCGTCTTCCTGAGGGCGTGGACGCCGTATTTGGCCCCACGATGCCGGGCCAAGCGCGCCGCAAGAAGGGCGAGGATGGCAAGGTGGGTGCTTGTCACGGCGCAGCTGACGTCTAGTGTGAGCCGAGCGAGGTAGACATGACCGAGACGCACAGACTGGTCGTCGACCAGCTGTCGGCCTCGTACATGGTGCCAATACGGAAGGGGATCATCTCGGCGTTCATGATGCGCGACGGCCTTATCATCACGATGTGCGAGAGCGACATGAGCGAGGCCCTCGAGCCGATCTACGAGCGTCTCGAGGACGAGCACTCGCTTCTCCGCCGCTCCGGCGACGTGAGCATGCTTGCACAGGCGCTGGTGGACGTTACGGTCGACTTGAGCATAGAGATAGCGCAGGCGTTCGAGGCCGAGATTCTCAAGGCCGAGAGTCAGGTCCTTGTGTCTCCCCAGCTCGAGTTCGTGCGCCGCCTCTTCATCGTCCAAGCGCAGATCACGCGCTTCCGCCGGCAGCTCACGCCCCTGCTCTACGCGTGCTACATCATACGTGACCAGGACACGGCGCGATCGGCGGCAGCAGGCGAGCTGACGCTCCCGCGTAGACACCGTTCCAACTCGACGGCGACGGCGGCCAGCCTCTCCGCCATGGGTGCGGGCTCAGGCCAGCAGTCGTCCATGGGCCTCGGCCCGTCGCAGGGTGTCTCGCCACACCTCGCCGCCGGCCCGCAGGGCATCCCCAACATTCACGGGCTGCACGGGGGCAACGCGGCCGTGCCCGGCTTCGCGATCCCCGGCCTAGCCCCCGCCGGCGCAGGCACGGCGGGCGGCCTCAGCGGGCTGGGTGGCATGGGCCTCCCGTCAGTGCCGAACGTCGCCATCCCCGGCTCGGGCGCAGGCGCAGACATGCCGCCGGCCGACATTCCGGAGGAGGGCGAGTGGACGCCGTCGCGCGAGGGTTCGGGTCCGGCAGGCGCCGCAACGCCCACGCCTGTGCAAAACCCTACGGCCGCCGCCAATGCCGCGACCGCGCTCGCTGTTGGCGCGGGCCACCATTCTGCGCCCGGCTACTTTTCGCTCCTGAGCAAAGTGTACATGAACGATGTTATTGACCACCTTGAGGTAAGCGTGGCTGTGCGTCACGGCTAACCACAGATGGTGGTCGGCTCGTCCGAGCAGTTCGTCAGCACTTGTGACCACCTCACCGACTACGTGTTCAACGTGCTCTCCTTCCAGACCAACAACAGCATGGAGCGCCTGAGCATCGTGACGGTCATCTTCCTGCGTGCGTATCCTAGCTGGAAGCGCTAACTCCAGCTCTGACTTTCATCGTGCGCCGTTCCCTCGCCGCATGGCTGACCACAGTCCTCGTACTTCGGCATGAACTTCACGGATTTCCCGGCACTCGAGACGGACGTGTGGAACGGATTCTGGAAGTATGCCGCGCCGCTCACCATTGCCTTCTTCGTTATCTTTTCGTTCTCGTATATCCAGACGGGGTGGGACACGCTGCGGCGCCGCGCCGAGCGGCGCCAGAGGGAGCGCGATATTGGACGGCGCAGATTCTCGTACGAGAAGCTTTAGGTAAGGATATGCATCGTGTGTGGGAAGGAAGAGTGAGGGTGGAGCTCCTGGAGAGCGATTAGTGGAGATCAGGGGGGGGGGGGGGGGGGGGGGGGGGGTGCGCGTTTCAAAGTTTGAGCGGGGCAGTGATCGCACTACGGCTGCGACTCGGGCACTTCCGACCTCCTCCCTCCCCGGCGTTGAGAAGAGAAGAGTATACGACCACATCCCAGCACCCTGAAACTGTACACGACCGATCTGTGCATTGTGCGCCTTGGATCGAGGACTTTAAAATGGGGCTTCGGTGTTAATTCGTTGTTGACATATTTGTGATTCGTTGCTTATTCGTTCCAATTCGTTGCTAATCCGGTGCTAATTCGTTGCTGATTCGTTGCTTATTCCTGGCCGATTTGTTGCTGAATCGTTGCTAATTCGTTGTTAATTGGTTGCTAACTCGTCGCTAATTCGTTGCTAGCTCGTTGCTAACTCGTCGGTAATTCGTTCCTGATCGTTACTGATCGTCGTTAATCCGATATTGAGACGTTGTATATTGGTTGCTAGCTCGTTGCTAATTCGTTGCTAATACATCTCAATTAACGTCGAATAAACTCACTGCCCGCTTTCACCGTGCACAAGAAAAAAAATCCTTCTGGAAGCGTCTGAACACTTCTAAAAGGTAGAGAGAGCCTGAAAACACCATTCTAAACATGCGCGCTCTCTTCAAAAATTATTGTTCTTCGTCGGTTTGCGAAAAGGACATTTCAATGTTGAGTTGTGTTGATTTGATTTGATTTCCGAACAATTTCAGGTGATACCGTGCACAGAAAAAATCATCCCCTAAACGCGGTTTACCACCACTAAAAGGTAGAGCGCGAGTTGAAGCACCGTTCTGATCAATCGCGCTCTCTTCAAAAGTCCTTGTTCTTTGTCAATTCGCATTCAAAGTCCCGGACATCGCGCGGGATATTGGGGATTGGTGTATCCGAAAGATGTCAATAGCTCGCCGACGCGCGCGGCACTCACACAAATTGGCATAAGTGCACTCCAAGATCGCATGACCGTTTGTGAATGTACGAATGAGGTATACTGAAGGTGTATTCATTGTAATGCTGCGGGGCGACGTGTGACCTGACTTTTTCGGACTAGCCCTCTGGACGGCTTATATAATATTATACGTACATGGCTCCGCGTCTACATCTACGGCTCGCTCTGGCTCACGCCTGTCCCGCCGTCTCCTTCAAGCGACTTGAGTAGCTCGAGAATATCGTTTGTATCGTGCGTCCCGAACACGCTGTCGAGCGTCATGCCCGCAGACGGCACCTCGTCCTGGAACTGGAGGAAGAGCGTGGACAAGTCCTCGTTCTCGGCCGGCGTCGACTCGTTGAGGTCGGCGAAGGGGAAGTGCGAAGCAAAGTCAAGACTGCTCCCCGCCTCACCGGGCGTGGGTGTCGTCGCCTCCTCCGTCCCGATGTCACCTGTTTTGCGTGCGCTCGCCCGAGTCGCCATGCGCGGGCTTGGCGTAGGTACCTTGCGCCGCTTGCGGGGCGATTCTGTCAATGTCGGGTCGGCACGGGTCTTGTTCAACCGCGGCGAGGAGCGCACGGGCGCTGGCGTCGACGCCGCGCCGGGCGTAGAGTTCGGAACGGGCAACGTGCGGTGTTGGTTGTAGTATTGCCCACATGCTGGTGTCAGCTTAGCATAGCGGACGCAGGCTTACGCTGACAGACCCGCGCGTCGCGATTTCCCTTGACCTTCTTCTTGAGCCACTGGTCGCTCTGTGTTGTGCCGCAGTTCTCGCACCGTCCTTCGAAGGAATCTGAGTGGGGTGCGGGTGGCACCGTCACTTTCTCCCATCTTCCGGGGCCAGGAGAGGAGGTGGTGTCGCTTTCAGGCAGTGTCTTGAGGAGCTTGACAAGGAAAGGGTTGCCGACAAGCTTCTTGGCCATGTTGGGTGACATCGAAGCCTCAGACTTGAGCACTTCGAGGATGCGCGCGCGGGACGGGGACGGCGTGGGTGGCGTTTGTGGGATGTGTTTCGGCTGTGGTGGGGGAGTGACGGCACGCGTGCGATTCACCTTAGGTCGTGGTGATGGTGGTGGGCGGGGTTTGGATGGGCCGGCTGTCGCGTTCGTCGCAGTGGCTGCGTTAATCGCATTTGCCGCGTTGGAAACATTCCTCGACACGCCGTTGGAGCTGGCGGCGGCAGCTGTAGGAACAGGGCGGCGCAATGGAGACGGAGGCTTGGGCTGCGGTGGGGCGGGCTTGACGAACCCTCGATCCCGCCCTGGGCTCGTCACGGCCAAGGGGTTCGCCGCACTGCTCTTGCCACCTGCGAGCATGGTCTCGAACTCGCGCCGCCCTGCGAACTCGGCTTTGCCTTCCGGATTCAGCTGACGGAGGGTGAGCGTGACCTCAAGGCCCCAGCCCTTGCCGTCGGCATCTTCTGACCTTGCGGCGGCCATCAGCCCCTCCAATCCGCCGCCCTCGGCGAAACAAGCGTTGGAGAACTCGTACTCGCGGGCCAACCTCCCGCGAACGAGCGTGGCGCCACCCCCGGCCTCCGCCAGCGCCCAGGAAAGAAATCCGCGCCCTGTCCACACCGACGCAGGCGGTGGCGCGGAAGGCGAGGGGAATGCGCGTCCGCCGGACGCCCGTGGAGACGGGTCGAGGTTGTACACCGTGTAGTCGAGAGACTTGCGGTTCGGTACGCACTCGGGGCTGCTGTCAGCTGTGCCGGAGCGTGAATTACCTCGCGTAGCAAATGCCCTTCGCCAGTGCTTTGAGGGCGACGCTGCCCACGAGCTCGGCACCGACCTGCTGCACGAAGACGGGCTGCTTGTCGTTCAGGACGGTAAGGTATGACTGGGGGCTCGTGTCGATCGTATACAGCACCTTGACTGGGGTTAGGCTGGTCTCGCGCGCTTCAATAGCGTACTGGGAAGGGGCTGGATCTTGCCCGGGCTCGGAGGCATGGTGGCGAGCTGCGCGCGAGTGGATGGGGGTGGAGGATGACGAAGACAATAAATCGGACGCGTCTGATGCTCCTGATGTCTTCAAACACAATCGCGTCACGGAAGCATTTCCCTGTAATGTTTCCACGTGGTGTATATCCGGCTACTACATGCGTACGCCGGCCCCCCACCTGCCCGGTAGCCCTCCGTCAGTGGTCTGTCGGCTATCTCCAACATCTCCATTCCCTTCTCCGCATTCACAACTACATCTAAACTAAACGCAATGGCTACACGACCTGTGCCGCCGTATCTCCGCCTGCGCACGCCAGGCTTCGCGCACCACGGGCTCAAGTTCTCGCCGTACTTTGACGGGCGCGCAGCAATTGCCAGCGGCGCCAACTTCGGTCTCGTCGGGAATGGGCGCGTGCACATCGTCCAGACCACGCCGGCGGGGCTGCAGCTCGAGAAAGTGTATGTGGGCGTCGAGGCGCGGCTGATGCAGATTCGATACGCAGGACTGCGTGTACGACGTTGCGTGGAATGAGGCGCACGAGAACCAGGTGCTCGCGGTGTGCGGCAATGGGTCGTTGAGGCTGTTCGACATCACACTGCAGGTGAGTTTGGGGAGGGATGGTGGAGTGGGCGGGGACGAAGCGCGTGCGTACCAGAGGGGGAGCGGAGGCTGGGAGAGCACCTGTGGCGAGGCCAGTCCGTCCCCGCATTCCGCGTTCTTCCGTCACCCGATCCGCCGCATATGAAGCGGATCGGGTCTCGAATTCCCATCGACAGATCAACACTGCTCGTTTACTGGCGTCGCTGATCTGGCCGCCTGGAACTTCCTTGCTCCGGCCTATCCCGATTTCACCCACGCCGTGCACTAATCCCAGGGCCTCCCGGTCGCGGCATGGCACGAGCACAGCTCCGAAGTCGTAAGCGCGGACTGGAGCAACATCGAGAAAACGCAGTTCGCGACTGCAAGCTGGGACGGAACGGCCAAGGTGGTGCGTACTCTGCCCTCGGCGGAGCTGACACCAGTGGGCGACGGAACGCGCGACGGCGCTCGCGACGCTCCCCGGCGCACCTGGACACCAGCTGTACACGGCGCTGTTTTCGCCACACACGCCCGCACTGCTGGCCACGAGCGGGCAGGACGGGCTCGTGCGTCTCTGGGACTTGCGGACGGTGAGCGCGCGCGGTCCCGCGCCGCAGCCGGTGCAGACGCTGCAAGCGAGCGCGGGGGACGTCCTGGCCGCCGACTGGAACAAGTACCATCCCGGCGTGTTGGTGACGGCGGGCAAGGACCGGAGCGTGCGCGTGTGGGACACTCGGAATGCCGGGCGGCCCGTGACGGAGCTCGGCGGGCGCGCGGGGCATACCTCCGCCGTGCGCAAGGTGCAGTGGTCGCCGCACCATGCGGATGTGCTTGCGTCGTGCGGCTACGACATGAGCACACGGGTGTGGCGCACGTCGCCGCCCAGCATCATGGGCGTCATGCACGACCACTCCGAGTTCTGCATGGCGCTCGGGTGGGCGCTGTTTGAGGAGGGCGTGCTCGCGACTGGCGGGTGGGACCAGGTCGTCAACGTGTACCGCCCGCTGTAGGCAATAGGAAGGGGAGGGGAGTGCATCCCCGTTGTAACGACTATCTACTAGCATTCAGCTCTACGGCATTAGGTACTAGATTACGGCGAGCGTAGGGTACAGCGGCCACGGCCCAGGACACGAGATACAATCAAATGTTCTTCTTGGCCTCGGCGTCGCTGCGGGCGGCAGCCTCGTCGATGGCCTTCTGCTCCTTGGCCTCGAGCTGCTGCGCATACTCCTGCCCGATCTGCATGCCGATCACACCGAGAAGGAGGAGGCCGACGAGCGCGTTGCCCGCGGCGAGCACGCGCACAGCCTCGATCTTCTCGTTGTCGGTGAACGGCTTCTCGGGCGCGGGCGGCGCGGGGATGATGCTCCAGGTCGACTTGGCGTCGGGGAGGAAGGTGCGGAGCGACTGGATGTGGACGGAGAGGTAGAGGACGATGCAGCCGGTCATCATGGCTGGGGTTAGCGCGGGGTGTACAGAGCACGCGGCCAAAGCGGCGCAAGGCGAAATGTTGAGCGATGCTCTAACTCGCAGAAGACGTAGGCAGCGGAATGGCGTCGTAATCCGACCTAGTCCAACGCCCTCACACCACGCCCTGCGCCTTCAAATATTGCCTCCACAATAAACTCACCAAGCGCCGAGCCGTCAAAGAACTTTGCGCTCTCCGACCACTTGTTGAGCTTGAAAATGAGGGTGAGCATGGGAATAGCCATGGCGACATGGAAGAGGGACTGGGGTGAGTGGTGTTTACGTGCGAGCGAGCAGCGAGCGGGGCGTGGCCACCTGCATCTGCGAGCAAGGAGCAGCAGGAGGACGCAAGCTGCTTGCCTCGCGAACGCAGTCGCGAGCGGCAGGCGTAATGGACTAAACCGCTGATCACGGACAGCGCGTGCGGTCAGGCTGACACATCCGATGCATCCGCTGCATCGCGTCATCGCCCTCGCCGGCCTTCGCAGATTCACGCACCTTGACGGCACCCGGGGCCTCGTACCACATCTCGTAGAACTCGTATGCGGCCTGGATCGCCTCGTTCGTCAGGGGGAGGTACAGGAGGCCAATGTCCACCTGGTGTTAGCTAGTTCCGGCCGGCTGGAGAGGGTCGTGGGAGAGAGACTGGAGAGGGGAGGGGAGGGGGGACTCCGAATGCTGAGATGAGATGGCGGAGGCGGAGAGCAGGCGGAGAGGAACCGGAGTGAACGGAGGGAGACCAGCGCCGGCACCCAGCGCCGGATTGCGCGCGGAGCGATACGAGATGAGAGGTCGAGATTGTCGTGCACGGCCCCTGCATCATGTCCAGCACTCACCACCTGGCAGACAAAGACCATGCCGAGGAGAAAGGCGGAGGTGCCGATGACAATGTTGGATGCGAAGCCCATGGTGGCGACGAGACGGATGGAGTAGTTTCGAGGTACGTACGTGTCAACGTTTGCTTTCCCATCTCGACGGTTGTCGATCATGCTGCACGCGGAAGCAAATCCAGCTACAAGTACTTGGCACGCACAGATCTCATTCCAGAATACCAGAATACCAGGACCTCCGTCTGATAAGCTCACCCGGCTAGCCGCGCAAAATGGTCCCAGCGCGATACTGGCGCGCTTTGGCGCGTCCAACCGCACCGCAACATAATAATTCGGCATTCTGTCCATCCATGACTATGATACATGGCACGAGCGCCGACAATGATGGACGGAATACACAGATGCGTGTCACTGGAGGAGCCGTTAAATGTCGTCGAGTTCGTGTAGGTGCTATCTATGCACATGCAGTGGCAAAAATTTGCGGGTGTGAGATGCTCTGCAGTCAGTGATTGCGGACACAGTGCAACCTCACTAGTAGGGCTTGTTGGTGTCGCATTGTCAAAATACTACTCTGGTGCAGCACTCATGCGAGCCAGCGGGTTCCAGACTCGCTGCGTCGAGATGAGACGGCGCGTTGGCAGTTTGCTCCTGTTGTTGCTCGGGCCGGCCTCTGGCTCGTCTGCCGAGCTGCTCGATGACTGTGACCTCGAGGGAGACGTGACGGCCTGGGCAAGCTGCGATGATCCGAGACGGGGTATGAGGCTCCTGGGCCGCTGCGTCGTTGTGGCAGGTGTAGGGGGCGGCTGACCGGTCAACGGCGCGGTTGTACGGGGCGGGGTGCTCGGACCTTCCTCGCCCTCTTCAATGAAAGGAAATGACGAGGCGGGAGGTGCGTCCTCGGTCCCGGGAGTTGCATCCCTGCTCGGGGGCGGCGAGCTCAAACCGGATTTGGGGAGCGGTGCGTCCGCGCGACGCTTGGTTGCTCGCTGGTCAAGCTCGGACGTGCTCGAGCTGCAGCTGACATTCGAGCTGGAACGAATAAGGCGCGGTGTGCTCTCTGATGTTCTAGGAGTCAGGGTGACCTCCTGTGGCACGGGTGCCCGGCCAGAGCCACGCTTCACGCCACGAATTGTGTCATTACGGCTTGGAGGCGAAGGCGCGTCTGACTTGACCTCGCGGAGCGCAGCAGCGACAAGATCCTCGTCGTCAATGTCCTCCGGAGCGTCGGCGGGCTGAATGCCCTTGCGCGGTTGACCCACGGCGTCGCCAGCTTTGGGGCACTTCAATGGGCCGCTGCGGGTTGGCGTGGTAAGCTGCACCATGGGATCATCCGCTTGGTCGACCTCCGCCGCGAGCACATTGCGCTCAGTTGGCGGGGAAGGAAGCGATGTGGTAGCCTCAGGCCGACGGAGAATATTGGACGCAGCCTTGGACGTCAGCCACTATCACCTCTGCTCACTCACCCATCCCGCCCATTTCATTTGGTTCAGCTGCATGTAGCGCTGCTGTGGGCCAACAACCATGCCGGGTCGGACGACCCGCATGTAGCCAATCACCTCCGAGGCTGTGAACTGGAATTTGTAGATAAAGTAGGCGCCGATGAGAACACCGGTGCGACCGAGTCCAGCCTTACAGTGCACAGCAACCTTTTTTCCCTTGGCGAACGTCTCCTCGGTGAGCTGGATGAACTCCTTGACAATCTCGTCCGTGGGATTCGTCCCATCGTCAAAGTAAAGATCGACATGCTCGATACCGTCCCTGACGAAGTGGTGGCGATCGTAGCTGTTGTCAACAACATATCACCAGCTACACTCACAGCTCGTCGTTGAGGCGGACGACCATGCCTACGTTCTCTTGCTGAAACTTTGCCTGCACCTTCTCAAATGCACCGCGGAGCATCTTCTTCTGGCCGGGCGAGTAGTCTGGCGCTGTCTCGCCTGTTGGTGTCCTCTCCCTGATGTACATGGGGTCCATTGGGGAGGCAAACGCTACAAAGTTGCCCAAGATGTTCAGGTCGCCGTTTTCGGGCTTCTCGTAGTATCGGTACTCGTCGGCGTCAAAGTCTTGTAGCTGAAGAAGGTCATGCTTGCCTGCCTTCCATACCCCATACAGCACGTCCTGGGGTCAGCTCTCCACAGGCTGGGGATAGGTGAGCTCACTTGCGCCGTCAAGGCAAACTCGTTGAGACCGTTTCCTGCGTCGCGAAATGGCAGGAGCTCAAAGTGCGAAATGGGATGGAATGCGTCCCAGGGGTCGTTGTGCTCGACAATAAGCTGTGTGTGAGCCGATCAGATCAGAGCGGAGTCGAGGAGTGGAGCTGTCGGGAGAAGAGACGCACACTGTACAAGGCGGCGATCAAGGCCATGTTCGACTTCTGCTCTGGCTCTGGCGAAGTGTACAGGCAGAGGGCCTTGCGCTTGTGGTCCTTGATCTGGGGTTAGCGTGGGTGAGCGTGGGCGTGGGAGTGGGAGTGGGAGCGGGGAATGGACGTGGATGTGGAGGAAGGAAGGCGTACATCGAGGCGGTTGAAGATCTTGACGCAGGCGTCAAACGTATAGGCAAGGTTGAGTGGCCCATAGTCGTTCTTGAATGGCGTGTAGTACAGATCATGATCGACTGGTGGTCAGTGGCGGCCAAGCACTACAATGGGGGATGGCGCGCACGGGAGAAGAGGTGCATGGGCTTGCCAGTTGTTGGGTGGGCATATGGTCCCAGCGCAGCATCTTTGGGTGCGAGAGTGGTGAAGACGAGGCGTGGTGTGAAGAGGGCGTATGGGTTTGGCAGATTGCGGAAGCCCGAGGGCGCGCGACAAGATGGCGCCGAGCTTGCCATGGCGAGTTGGAGTAGTGGAGTAATGATGATGAAGAGTGTAGTGTTGAGAGTTGAGAGATGGGGAGGAAGGCGTGTGTTATGTTGACTGGAGCACGAGCTGGGGTCTGTGTGGCCTGTGGGGTGGTGGGGAGGGAGGAAGGATGCGAGGGGTTGTGCGGAAGGGCCCGGGCGCGGCGCTCGGCGCTGTGGTCGGCAGTCGGGGGTGAATGTTGGATGCTAATTGTGTGACTGAAATTGAATGGCTGTGAATGCTGTGTTGTTTGCGTCGGCGATGAAGAGAATGATGAGCGGGGGGCTGGACAAGGTATGATGATGCGTGGGGAGGCAAGAATGAGCCAGGACAAGAGAAGCGGAAATGGGGAGGGGGATGATGGGAGGGTGAGACAGAGTGTGATTGAGTGTGAGTGTGTTGAGTGGGAGGTGTAAGGGTGCTAGTCGAGCTAGTCGGTTGTGAGGAGGACAAGAGGGAGATGGAGCTAGGTGATGAAGGAGGAGGATGAGGTGGTGGTGGTGAGAGCGGTGGACATGACGAGTGGAGAGAGAGAGAGAGAGAGAGAGAGGAGGATGGGGCGACAGGGGGGGGGGGGGGGGGGAGGGGCCGTGTATGGGGGGCACGGGCTGACGGAGGATCCAGAGGATTAGAAGAAGAAGAGGAGGAGGAGAGTAATGACTACTACTGCGACGTTCAAAGTGGGGCGAGGTGATCTGTGCGCTTCTCTCCACAATCGCACAATGGCGTTTCCGCCTCTCCCTCCCCGGCACTCGCACAAGGCACAATTCCCTGGACCCCCTCTCCCACCCCCACCTCCATTCCTCAAAATCAGGCGCGTCCTCTCGCCTCAGTCCTCCTCTCCGCCACCATGCTACCGTCGACGCTGTCTACTCCACTGGGAGTGCCTGCTGTACATAGAGATGCAACTCCCAGATCCCCGCCGTCCCAAGAATTCCAAGGGACGGACGAACCCGACCGCGCGCCGTGAGTCGCGTGACAGTGACGCTTGGATGCGTAGGCTGGTGGCGACGAAGCCTGCATTGCTGGATGGCCTTGCCTGACGCGTTCCACATACCGCGAACCCTGGTGCATGGCCCACCGTATGAGTCTAAAACCAAAATTCCCACTCCCCCCGGCCCCCTGCTAAAACCAAAATTCATTCTTGTCCTGGATGTCCTCAACATTAGTATTCCAAACTAATAATATTACATCGTCGATCTATATCCTCTTATCTACAACTCGTGGTAATGCCGTCATCTAAGGGTGGTGTTGTCTTGCCGCCATGCGCCACGTCCGCCATGTCATCGTCCCAGGCCTTGATCCCGTCTTGAGCCAAGATGGCCAAGACGGGCCAAGATGAGCCTAGGATGCCAGGATGTAGAGCCCGCGTCCAGAGGATCTGGTCGCCTCTACGATCTATCCTCCTGGTGGATAGTCCAATGTTTGTCCTGTCACTTTCACCCTAGCTCACCCAACCTCCTCACATGATGCCATTAGCTCCACTTACCACTCTCCACTGATCCACTACATCTCCTCTTCACTTTTGCTCGCCCCGATGCCCTCGTCAACAATTATCCTCACACATCACACCTCACAAATCTGCCAATCCCCACATCCCACACCCGTCCCTAGGGCCTGCGCCCATACATCATTATACAATAATACTACATGTACAGATAACGCACGGCCCAATCTCGCTCCCGAGATAGGCGGGGCGCAAAGCCTAGACGAGCAACTCGACACGGGCTCCGCGCCCTTGCGGTGCAAGGGACAGATGCGCAAGATTCCAATCGGCCCACATCATGCGGTGCACAGTGACAGGGCGACCGGTGACCAGCAAGGCAGGGCAGGGCCAGGCAAGTGGCAGAGCAAGCAGGTATGCAACTCAACCTACAGGGCGTCATCCCCGCCGCTCCACCGCTGCATCTCATGAGGACTCTCCCAATGCTCGAAGCGAAGGATGTCGCCCGCGTTCGCCGTGCGCACAGTCAAATTGGGCGAGACGTCAATGTGTTCAATCAGATGGTTGAACTTGAATGCGAGCGCGTTTCGCCTGTCACTGTTGCGCGGTTGCAGCATCTCGCCAGTAATAATGTCCCACGCCCTTAGGCGGTGGTCAGAGCCGCCAGCAAATACGACCGTGTCATCTGGAGACGTCGTAAAGCCCATCGTGGGGATCGAGGGGTTGAAGTGCCCTGCAAACTCGCGCAGCGGCTGAGTTGGGTAGCGCACATCGAAGAGCAACAGTTGACTTTCCAGTCCGGCGGCGACAAGACCGTATGGCACTGCGGAGTCACTGAGTCGTCTCAACCCCGTCACTAAACGCTTATGTGGCATGGTGCCCACGACCGATGAGCGACTTTGCCCCGTGCGCAGGTCGTCTACGATTATATTGCCGTTGCGTAACCCCGCGTACACCAGGTCTGTGGATGTCTGATGTAATCGCCATGGGTCAGAGGTGAGGCGTCGCGACGAGAGGATGAGATTGTCGTGTGTCGTTGTGACCGTGTTGATCGAGGAGGGGAGGCCTGAAGTCAGCTCGCCCCATGCCCCCCCACAACACTGCTCACCGAGAGACGTAATGTTGTCAAACGACGACATTGTGTATATGTCACGCTGGGGAAGATCCAACGTCCATTGCTCTGGAGGGACATGAACGAGGTTGAGCGGATCTCTCCTCCAACTGTGTACGTGTGGGGTATTGCCGTTGGCGACGCAGCTGTGGTGTTAGCCATCGCTCGTCTGACCCGCAGCGGCGACTCACATCCATGTCCCTCGCGCGACGTTGCAATGTACCCCAAGGAGCTGCTGTCAGCTCACCAACGTCTACGCCGCAGCCTACCGTCTCAGTGCACGCTGAAAACGAAAATGCGTCCCCGTCCGGACACGAGATGATGACCTGCCCTCGATCGGTGGTCACGGCCAGCCCGCCTGGCCCAAAGCTCTTGACGCTCGTGACCTTCTTCCCGTGGCAGTCGCACAGCCCTGCTATGCCATGAAGCGTGGTGCTGGCCACCCGATCGGTGGTGCAGCGGCGAGTGAGTGCGTCGGAGCGCGGACCGAGCGCGCGCGCCAAGCGCCGCCGTGCGTCGCGGCTCGAGGACACGTCCCACGGGACATCGTTTTTCCTCTTCTTTGCGCAGACGGGGCGCTCGCGCATTCCCATGGCTTCGGCGCCTTTTGATGGGCGCGAGGAGAGGGGAAAGTAGCGTTTGCGCTCGACGTCGTAGTACATCCCGGGGACGTCGCCGATAAAGGCGTTCTTGTTCGCCATGGCGGGAGAGTGATGCGGGTCCAAGACGATGTAAGATGGGAGGAGAGTAGATGGAAATGGAGGCAAGAGATGGAGATGGATGATGAGTAGATAAGGAGGGCGTGTGAGGTGAGTGGAGCTCGTTATAATGTCGTCGTCGAAGTGGGGGCAGGCGAAAGCGCAGGCGTGGGCGTCGAAATGATGGCGTAGGAAGGATTAATTGAAGGAGTAAGACCGAGTGGGACACACAACGACGACGATGTGGCCGTCGATGAGCATGTATGATCAACTAAATCACAGTTGTAATCTAAACGAGCACTCGAAGTCAGCGGCCAGTCGGTGCGAAATGAGCGACCTTGCGTTCTCTTTCGGCGGGGCCCGGGTAAAAGGACAATCAAGTGGCGGCCCAGGGTATACACTCCTGTCAGGCACACCAATATTTCTTACCATCTCTCCATCTGTTGCGGGGAAACCGTGTGGGGTAACTTGCCAAATCTCATCTCGGACACCATGAACGGCGACTGCATCAAAGTTTACCTTCAGCACATGGATCCTTCGCTTATTAACTGTCTGCAGCCGCTTGCCGCAAAACGGGGCCCACGACTCGGCCGCCCGGCGTCACAATGTCGTGCAGTTCCCGGGATGGCGCCGCGCGGCGATGAGATGGACGCCGCATATTCGGCTCTCGGACCGAGGGCTCCACCCACGCTTAAAGCCAAGTTGACGTGTGACCGAGGAGCTGCAAGGGCAGGCGGTGGTCAACTCATGTCGTAATGTCGATCAGATTATCTCAGTTGGGACATGAGCCTGTGGAACCGGAAATCCGGACCTCTCGATGGCGGGTGGTAGACGTTGAGCTGTTGTATGTCACTGGGTTGTGGCCACCGGGTGTGGCTAACGCGGATGAGTGTTGGTGGCGAAGGTAGTCAGTGAACATCACAAGCTGGCAAAGTGCAATAAGGGACTTGATCAATGTTATGGGAGAATAATCGGGTCCAGACGAAGCACATGATTTTGTAGCTGTGAAATGAAGTTGTGACAACAATGCCATCTATAACCGCCGGGAGACTGCCGCCTTATCGTTGGCGCCTTGCACCTGCTAGTACTCGTACCACGAAACACAGAACGGTTATGGAAGGCGCCAGCCGCCGATCACCGAGTGCCCAACTTCACTCGGTACCGATCAAGCTCAACAGCTGACGTGCTGACACCGCCCGGCGTGCCCGAAGCCCATTTAGACAGTGCCACAGAGGAACCAGAGGAACGCGAGCACCGCTTGCAGCCGAGCTGCTCACCTTGGGACCAGGCACGACCAGCAGGTGATGTTTCCGATAGGCGTGCCTGCCCGAAGACGCCGTGCCTGTTTCTGCCGCGCTGATCCCGCATTCTCGAACACCCCTCTTTCCTCCTGCGTCCTGTGCTCCTTTTGCCACTGGAGACTACTCAATTCATCTTGAACAACACGCCAGGCGGGCGTGTAGCGGAGGCAGGAGGAGACTAGTGCTGTGCCATGCCAGATGATTCAGCTGACAGCTTGATGGGAGAGCGGCTGCGTTGCGACAACAACGCCTCCTGTCCCTTGCTTATCAGATTATGGAGACGCCAATACGCCAAACGCCAAACGGCCAAAGGCATGACGCACGATCGCCAGCCGATCACTCTGCATCTCAATCCACGCACTGTCTCCCCCGCCACTCTTCCGTGCCGGAACTCGGAACAGCGCCGGCCGCACCGGCCGTGCCCGCCGATTGATGGCGAGCAGGGCACCCGAAGCGGTGCACACACGCACGCGCTCACAGCTCACGTGGGTGCACCGCCCCGCTCCCACGCCCAACATCCACATGATGCAGCAGCATGCACGCCACCCCCACTTTCCATATATACCGCCTAGCGAACAAGAACGCACAACAATCTCCACTCAGCATGCGTGCGATGCGCCTCCTCACCCCCCTCTCGGCGCTCCCCTTCAACCCGTTCCCTCTAGCCTCCCATCCCCTCCCACCACCCATCCCCAACTCGTCCCTCTCGTTCTCGTGCATGCGCCAGAGCCAGGCCACTCCTCCTCCCGCAACTGCGACACAGCAGCCTCTCCTCAGCCTCAACAATGCTGGCGCCGACACGGAATCCACCCACCCTCCCCGCCCGCGCTTGCGTCTCGACACGCGTCCCGAGGTCCTCTCACCGTCGCTCGAGCGCCGCTCGCACCCCTCCACCCCGTCGCGCGCGACTCACTCGCCCCTCTCGCGCTCCAGCATCTCCCCGCGCTCACGCACGCGCGCCCGCCGCCCGCGCCGCCGCGACGCGATGGAGCCGCGCACCGTCCACTTCGTCGGCTTCCTCCAGCGCATGCACGCGACGCTAGACGCTGCGGCCGTAGGCACCGTAAGCTCCGCCGGCGGTGGTGCGGAGGCGACGGTGACGGCGACGGCGATGGCGACAGGTGAGGCCATCATGGCCGCCCTCGAAGTCTACTTCCCCTCGCTGGCGCGCGAGCCCGCTGCGTGGGCCGCCGTGCGCAAGGGCAGCCTCGAGGCGCGCGTGACCGCATTGCATACGCTTGTGTTGGCGCGCGTGCCGCCCGAAGGCGATCCTGCGCGCCACTAAGCCGTCGCAGCATGTGCAGGCGGTGTGGTGACGTGGCGACGTGGAACACCGAGCATGGCTCCGATTTCTCATGAGTGGGCGCGACACACACGATAGCGACGGCACAGGCGGTCGGCGACAACGACGAACTGGGCGGCACACACGAAGTACCGCAAGACGAAAAGTGCATGATCAAAAGGCTCTGTCACCCTGAGTACCCCAGATCCACACGACGCAGGTGATGGCAGCACATACACGACGCCAAACATTCGAAGCTATGCGAGGCTACAGCACATCGCATGAGTGAAAGTGAACGATGATGGGCCCTATCGATAGTGGCCGGTAATGGATTAGTGGCGCTGAGGAGGGGAGGCGTCAGGCAGTCGGCAAGGAAAGGTGGCGAGGCAAGGCGGCAAACGAGTTGGGAAGAGACTAGAGGGGATTGCATACGGGCTTCACCCTCTGGCGACATGACTTTCGAGCGGCAAATGCGCTTCTTAGGCGACGCGAATGACGACTGCTCGCGCGCCCGCTGGCGTGCACTCGCGAGCGACACCCTTTACCCCAGGCGAGAATACCAACTACACTTAGTCGCGGCGCAACCCCGACAACAACCCAGCACAATTATACCCCAACGTTTTAGCATCAGGACGAGAGCGATGTATGTTGTATCCCAAGTGACGCACCCGGTCGATCAGCGTCACATACTTACAATGCACATCCCAACTAATATACATTCGTGATCTACAACTACACTCGCCATCCAGGCGCACACCGACGCCTAGAGGGCCATCGCCGACGGATCGTTCCACCCGAGCGCACCATCATCCCTCATGAGCTGCAGAATCGTTGCTTGCTGCAGCCGGTAATGACCCACAGTCTCGATGCCCTCTCGCGCGAGTGGCAGGTACTGGGACGTGTCGAGTGGTATAAGATTCTTCTGATATTGCTCCTTCCTCGCTACGGCCTTTTCCGCATAAGCCGTCTTCTTGCCGCGCTCCAGCCTGAGGCATTTGCTATTGGCGTGAGCATGGCTTATTCCGTCAACTCACTCCTCAGTCAGTCCGTACACCTCCAGGAGGAGATTCTTGGTGAGCAATGCGATTCCGACTACCAAGCTGGCGTTGGCGAGGTGCAGAGCAGGGAACTGCTGTTTCTGGCATCAGTACTCTCTATTGCAGGAGAGCCCACCTCTGAGATAATCGCCATCTTGCCTGCAATGGAGTCGCTGTCGGCCGCGGCGACCTGCGCCAACTCGATGTGGTTGGCAGTCGAGGCCCCGTCGCGCACAACATGACTGAGCGCCTGGACGACAAGCATAGGTTCCTCCTGTTGCTGGTAGTCAAGCATGCAAAGGTTCTCAGCCACGTAGAGGACAAATTGCGGGTCAATCTGTCTCCGTCAGCTATCGTTGCCTAGCACTGGCTTACCGGTTCGCTCGCCTCCACGTCAAAGTCGAAGGCCTTCGTGAGGGCTCGGAGGAACTCGAGCCGCCACGCTCGCTTATCGCTCAGCAGCCCATACCAGCCGCCTAGAGCTGCTGCGCCGCGCCTCTCGCCTGATACCTCGGACGACACACCGCGCAGATAGTCATAGGACGCGCGGACAAAGTCCAGGTGCTGCACGTTGAGAAGCGTAGAGTGCTTCAGGTGAAGCGTCGAGTGCAGCACCAGGGCGCTGTCCGCCAGTGCCTGGTCCTCGCTCGCCTCCAACGGAATCAAGACGGGCATGAGCTGCACGTTAGCAAACAATGACATTACGCATCTCACCATAACGGGATGGTACAGGCCCTGGTTCACAGTGAACTCGAGGACATTCAATGCTTGCCGCTGAAGGCTGGGTGTATGTGACATTGCGGCCTCCTTGACGTAATCAATGGTCCTCTGCACCAGAGATGTCGACACGACAGAGTCGTGAATCTCGTTGTTAGCGCCGATGAGATCCTTGATGTCCTTTGTGACAGGGCCTAAGAATCAGCGTCTGCCACTGCTTTCCAGCTCACCCTTTACGATACGTCGCTTCGACTCCGAGACGAGGAAGTCGTGGATGAGCTCAAGCAACTTGGACTTGGTATCGGGGCTGCCCGACTTGAACGACTTGGCCATCCAATCGCCAGCTTTCGTGTCTAGAATAAGTTGAGGGTTTGATCGAAAGACGGCGGACAGACACAGGATGGGAATCTGTTGATTGGTAACCTTTGAGGAGAAGTCCAGATAGATGTCGAAGAAATGTTCGGCCAGCGGGCGAGCGCGCGGCATCATTGCTTTGATTGATCTGGCGATTTGGTCGTCGTCCCGAGCGATGGCATCAAAGTCAATGTTCTCGACGATCAGAGCCGTAATGTAGTACATTGTAGACACCTGGCGCATGACTTGAGGATTGCGCTCGTCAAGTTTCACAGCCTTGAGTTTGTCTAGGGTTAGGCACACCTTTGCTGTACAGCACGCACCGTGACACCCTCTCAGCAGAGATGAGACGGCGAGATATGCTTTTGTCAGGTGCTTTGTGACGACGCAGTAACAAGCCACCGTCCAGCGCAGCGTGTGAGGTGCCCCCGCAGGCTTTTGTACCATTCCACGAAGCGCCGTCGTGAGCTCGTTGGCAAATGCTGACGCCGCTTTAGGGAGGAACGGGATGGATCTAACGAAGATCTGGAGGATCTGGTCAAGAGTATTTTGCTCCTCCATCTGGATGTTAACATCATGGCGACGCACACACGTACATTACTGGGAGGTCGCAGGTACGACAACAGAACTGATGCCTTGTTGGTATCAATCAGCGCTGGATCATCTTGACTGAGGAGGAAGATTGCGCGGATATGGCTCCCGGCGTCCTGCTTGTCAGCCAGCATCGATAGACAGAACGCACAAATTCGGTGTCCTCGGTGGCATCCACCATTCGATTGATCAAAGCATCGATAGTCTCCCCAAAGTAGTTGCTGTGGCCGTTCTTTTTGCACGCCGAGTGCACCTGGTGTGAGATACAGCTGCCCTCTCAAACCTACACCTTGAATTGCATTCTCGAGAGATAGTGTCGGCCCGTCGAACCTGTGGAGTATCTCAACTAAGAGTGCAGCGGTGTCGGCTGCAACGAAGCCCGTGGACGGGTACAAAATATCCGTGAGAGACTTGATACCAAGGTCCTTTAGGTCAGCCAGCGATGCGCCCGCGAGCTCACCTTGATGCCGTCGTCCTCATCCTGGGTCGCAACCACCAGCTTGCAGCAAATGTCGATCCCGAGCTTGCTGTCGTCTGTAGTCGAAAACATGTCACGCAGCATCTTGACGACACGTTTGCGCACAAGTAGGCCAGTGTCGGTGACACGTGCCGCGAGCAGCGGGAAATACTGGACGGCAAGTTCAGAGCGCTGCACGACATACTTGCCAATGAGGTCGACAGCGACGTCGCGGACAGAGGTTGAGGCGTCGTTCAACCTGTCCTCGATCGCAACCCGTACGTTTGCGTCCGCAAGGATCTCGGGGTCCGCTACCACGACCTGAGTGAGGCCACGCAAAGCCTTGGAACGATGCGAGACCACGCTGGAGTCCATGTACTTGGTGAGCTCGTAAAGAAGTTGCTTGAATGCCTCCTGTAAAGGATTACAGCGGGAAAGTGCGAGGGACGTTTCGATGGCCTCTTCCAGCTGATTCGACCCGCTTCTCGTCAGCCGGCAGCTGGTAGACGAATGGAGCTACTCACGGGTCAAAGACGTTTCCTGCCTCCCCACTCCACACGTCGTGCGCGGCCACGTGGAGAGATTCAATGATAGACTTGACCTTCTCTGCCGACGCTGCCTCGTCCGGCTCGGCAGCAAAGCGTTCCAAAAGCGAGGTTGCACGTTGCGACGCCTTTGAGATGTCGTTGGCCCACAGAATTCGTGTCATCTCGCCTGCAGTCTGACGTTAGCTCATCTAGATCCGGAATCACGTACAACAAGCATGCCATCCTCCCGTGAGGCGGCAGTCAGATATGACTGGACAGTCTGGTGTGCGGCGAAAAGTTTGGCAAGGCCATCGACATTCACGTCTTGCAGGACATCGTTGAAGCTCGGGATGACGGTCTTACGGTTCATCTCCATCTCCAGAGAGTGAATCTTCGCGGCAATGTCACCCAAGTAGTCAAGGGCGAGGCCACGAGCTGCATTGGCTTCAAAGGCACCCTTAATCTTGCCAGGTTCTTCGAGCTAGCGTCAGCAGCGACATGTGCGTCAACCCACCAATGTTTTCAGTAGGACAGATAGAAACAGCGCAGCTGTTGGCCACTCCGGACGGTAAATGACGGTGATCAGATCGCTGACGAGCGCCGATAGGACGACTGAATAGTCGGTCTCCTTCTCGCCACGACTAGTTTTGGTGGCAATTGCTTTGCGAACCAAGACGCTCACCACAAACTTCATGTAGCCTCCCACCTTCTCCACCACCCCAAGGCACATCCTTGACTCCTGTGGGTCAGCGAGGACGATCTGTCAAAACACCGGGCCCACCTCTTCTGCGACTGCCTCTGCATTCTGAGGTTCGCCCGTTTCGATGTCGATATTGCGAGAACGCAGTTTACGGATGGCGGGACCGACGCCAAAAGAGAATGCCTGAACTAATTGCAGGAAGAGTGCGCTCAGGATGTTGATGGACGTTCCGTCAGCGAGCTGGTAGCGAGTGTTGGTCGATCCCGAATCGATGCTCTTGCCCAAACCATCAATGATCTCTTGGAGGATCCACTGCCGCTGGTTCTCATACTTGGCAAAGATGACACGGAGACATCCCAGCGCGTCGGTGCGCAAGGTCTTCATGAGTGCCCATGTCGCTGTACCTGGGGCTTTGGCCTTGCCGCGACGAGCCGGTTCATGAACGAAGACGGGTCCGAGAGCAAGATAGACAGCGTTGATGATCAGTTGCTCGCCGAAAGTCACGTTGTGCTTATTGATGAGTCCAGTGATGTGCGGGACTGCTGCGCTCGTGAAGTGGGCAATGGAGGACAGGAAGGGGTTGTTGAAGGATGCCGTATCCTTCTTCGATTTGCCCTTTGCGGCTGCTGAGGCTTCGTCAGTGACAATCCACGCGAGGTAGTTCGAGCGGATCTCTGGCGTGTTAGTATGGAACATAGTGACCTCATGAACGTACTGTCACCAGCGAGACCTTCAATTACGGGGAATAGCACACCCGCCATCTGGCTGCGAACTGTAGTGATGGCTTTCGTGAGCAGGTCCTCCGAGTAGAGCTCCTTCGGAACGCCCGGTGTTCTGAGGACGACAAGACAGCACAAGGCTGCCGCAGCTGCGTTGGACAGTGTGGCAAGTGTCCTCTCGCCAGTATTCTTCTCCTCTTCAGAGACCTCAAGCTCCGGAGAAGGCTCAGGCCCATTGCTCGTCGCCTTCTTCCCCTTTCGCCCTTTGGCGCCCTTGACGGGCGATGCGTTCTCGATAACCGTGCGCCGACCGTTATCGGGGAAGGGATCGAGGTCCTGTCCATCCTGCATGGAGCGCTCTAAGATGCGAAGCAGGCGTCCAAGGAGGTCGGCGTCGAGTGACAGCGTCTCAGCCCTGGTTTGTCTTGAGCGATTTGACTTGCGGAGGCGTGCGAAGTTCTTAACCAGTTTGTCGACGCACTCTGACGACAGCAACGGATGCTCGCCGTTGGCACTAAGACCGTAAAAGTAATGCGAGCTGTTCACCTGTTCAAGCGAAGGAGCAGCGCTGAAGCCGTCCGACTCTTCGAAAATGTCCTCCAGAAGGCTCTGAACTTTCTGAAACAGGGCTGCAGGGTTAGCTGAGTCACCTCGGCGGACTCACATCGCTGATCCTTGTCACCTGTGCGCGCGACAGTTCTGTGCGAAGAGGCTTCAAACTTGGCCGCGTGCTCCTGCCCCATTTGCCAGTCTACATCGATTTCAGCCTTTGGCTGGCCCCAATCTATGTCTTCTTCCTCAGAATCGTCATTCCTCGTCGCCGGGGTGGACCGCATGGATGTAGTCGAGTGCGCAGGGCCAGATATGCTGGAAGGCGCGATCGACGTGTACATGCCCTTTTGTGCCTCTGTGAGCCGTGGCGGATGTATCTCAAAGGACGGCTGGCGGGTAGGCGACGGATGTGCGCTCTTGCGAGCTTTCTTGGTTGGCGAAGGTCCCTCGGATCTTATGTTGAGAGGATCCGGTGACTGCGCGGCGCGGCGAGACGGCGTCGGTGCGGCAACGGAGGCGCGTGAGGATGGTGTTGGTGTAGCCAGACGAAGTTGATGATCGAGCATCTGCTCAAAGTATTCTCCAGCTGAGGGTGCTGGGGAGGGAACAGATGAAGGGGCAGCCGAGGAGGGGGTTGGTGGCAGGGTTGCGGTTCGGTTGGACCGAGGTGTCTGGGGAAGGAAGGCATATGGCAGAGGTGAGGACGAGGTGAGCTGAGGTTGGAAAGAGGCGCCATTCATGCTCTGAGAAGCAGCGTATGGCCTGGAGGTCAAATTGAGAGATGAGTGGACTCACATATTGCCGTAACTTGCCCCTGTCTGGAGGGCTGCGAGAATGCGCGCCTCGGCAGCTTGGCGGAGCTGCCAGTCCTGGGCTGTCTGCGGCTGCTCCAGCGTCTGGAAGGCGTGCGCGTGCTGAGGGTAGACCGAGACAGCCGAGGTAGGCGGAGTGTAGCTGACGGTGTGAGGGGAGAAATGCTCAGTGACTTGTGATTAGCGGGGATAGAGGGATGAAGCTCAGAGTGAAAGAGTGAATGGGAGATGACTAACCTCTTGCTGTTGGGGTGTAGTGGGCGAAAGGAACCATGCTCAAGAGAGATGCAGGATCATCGTATCGAGGCAAAGGGGGGTCATTGAGAGTGGGATTGGGGGCAATTTGGGAGCCGTTTGCCCAGCCGGGGAAGGGGTTGCCGTCGTTGTGACGGCGCGGCGGTGGTTGCGACATGTCTACCAAGTGTGTGAGAGGGGCGATCCGCTATCCGAGCATGAGATTGATCGATTGAGAGATGATGCGAGATGCGAAAGGGCGGGCGAGATGACCGGAGAGTGGGAATGAATGAACGAGAGCGGACGCGCGGAGCGTGAGACGGGCGGAACGCGCGGAAGAGGTGCAAAGTGGAGGTCGAGATGATGTTGGTTGAGTGGATGTATGCGTCCCGAGACGCGCCAAATGACTCGAGCGGGGCACCAAGCCACGCGACCGTCCCTGGTCAAGCCATGCGAGCCACCGCTCCCATAACTGCTGGACGCGCACCAACACACCACAAACGTCATGTAATGCAAATGTATGATCGCGTCTACAGTCTACTCGCTGTCCTCATCCTCATCCTCATCCTCGTCATTGTCGTCGTCACTCTCCATGTCCTCGAGAATGTCCACGTACTGCTTCCCCTTGGCGAAAGCCTCGAGATATCCGGCCTTCTCGTCGACCTTTGCTCCCTCGCCTCGCGCAGCCGTGAGCGACCGCCACTCAATGAGGGCGTCCTCATCAACCACGTCGCTGTCATACAAGGCGCGTAGGAAAAGGCCAAAGTACGGGATGTGCTCCTCGTTGTGGACGCAAAAGGTCTGAATGTCAAGCGCAATGTCCGACAGGTCGCGCGAGAGGTTGACGGCCATGCCGCCCCATCGGGCCCAAATCTTGGTTGCGTCTGCAAGGATGTTGGCCATGCCGCCGTCGAGCGTGATTTTGCCCATGAAGAAATTGACGACTTGTTGGCGCGCAGCGTCGATGCCCGAGTTGTAGCCCATGACGAGGGTTTTGAGCTCGAGACCGGCGTTCTCAATCGAGTGACCCTCGGCGTATGCGCGCTCGAGGGACGACTGGCACTCGGTGTAGAACGCCTGAGAGGGTCCGCCAGCGAGGTTGAGATCGCCGAGGCCGAGATCAGGGAGCTCCGAGTCGTCAGAGTCGTACGACCCCTCATCTTCGTCACTCGAGGCGATGGAGAGCGTGGAGAGGGAGACGGTGGACACCGAGAGATTAGACAAACGGCGGCCAAGCTGCAGAAGCCGCTTGTTCCGTGGGTGCTCGAATGGGTCCTCTCCCTCGTCGTCCGAGTCCTCCGCGGACTCCTCCTCCTCGGTGGGCCAGAAGAAGCCTTTCGATTGAGAGCCCAAGATGTCGAGGTTCAACTGCTTCAATCCCTCCTCGCGTTCTGGCTCCTCCTCGTCGTCCGAGTCCCAACCCTCGGGGCGGTATGGCTCCCTTCCAATTCGTGCGAACATGGGAATCTTGACCCCAGCCCCGATGGTCACGCCGTCGCCGATGAGAGCGCCCTTGCCGATATGCGCTCCATCGCCAATAGTGACGTTGTTGCCAATCATGCACTCGTCGAGGAAACAGTCGTCGCCAATGTTCACGTTGTTGAAGATATAAGACGAGATAATGGTGGTGTTGGCGCCGACAAGGCAGCGCCGGCCAAGGGTAGTCTGCACGATGCGAGTGTTATTGTTCAGCACACTGCGAGCGCCGATGAGCAATGGCCCCTGCAACGTCGTCGTCCGCGAGAGGATAACGTTGTCGTGCGCAATGTACACGTTGCCGCGGCGGAGCTCATATGATTCGGTACCGTGCACGCCGATATCGGGGACGAGAGGGAAGACCCATCGTCTGAGGATGTCCTGCGTGATCTCTCCGTAAGTGCGTGTATCCCTCACGCGCTCAACGTAGCGGCCTGATCCGGCGCGACGCTCCTTCGGGTCTTCGGGTGTCTCGTCGCCCACAACGTGCACGTTGATGTGTTTGCCTAGCAGCTCGGATGTGAGCACGCCGTTGACAAAGTGCCGCCGCAGGTCATGGTAGTCAAAGTTCTCAGTGCAGAGAGCAGGCACGTCAGCCTCGCAAATGTCGATGCCGAGGTCGCGGTAGCCACCTTGCTGAGAGGCGGGGTTGGTGCCGGACCAAATCTCGTACTCGTCAATTGTGGGCGGCCAGGGGTCGAGGAAGAGCTGGGAAGGGAATGCGACGTGCTTCTGCGCTGGCGAGAGAGGGTTAAGAGAATAATGGAGGAGACGGGAGGAGGGGGGGTGGACCATCATGATAGGCGCCTCGGGGTGCTGGCGGCCGCCGCGCCCAACTCCCATGGTCATAATTAGGTTCTTGTCCGTCTCGCGGCGCTTGCGATGCGCGTCGATCATCTGCGAGATGTCGTAGTTGGACACAATGGGGGTGTGGACGAGGATGAAGGGGTTCTCGGGGTTGAGCACACCCATATCGTCAAGCTCGCGCAGCGCGTCGCCACCGGTGCGGGCTGTCTGGGATGCCAAGCACTGAATGTCAAGCAGGCGGTTGAACGGCGAGTTGCTGATGTCAGTCCTAGCTGGGGCAACGAACATACGCAACAAACTCGCGGATCTTGTCCGCATGCACGCCGCAGAAGATGAAGACCTGCTTGACCTTGCTATGGCTCAAGTTCTCGAGGGTGTACGCAAGGAGGGGAATACCGCAGAGAGGGAGGAGAATACGGGGCTGGTCAAGGCATAGCACCTCGAAGCGGCGGTTGTATGAGTCGGCCAGGACCACGGCCTGAAGGACCGGCTCGTCGCCATTCTCGCCGCGCTGAGGTCAGAAATCCATTGGATACAACGATGATCGCATAGACGCACCTTGGGGTCTGACTTGTTTGCTTGCTTTTTTGGTGGCATGGTGCTGATGTCGGGAGACGATGCAAGCGTTGAGCAGCACTATGCAGGCCGGCCTCTCGACTTTCTGGGCTCAACCCGCTCAACGAGTCATGAATCACGACCACGTGGCATAGACGATCTCGCCACAGGCCCAAAACACCGAAGTCTCCGTCCCACCCCGGCGGGTCGCTGCATTGAGGGTCAGCCCATTCGCCCGCCGTTCACCTCGACCTCGGCGCCGTTGCCTACGCTCATCTCGACACCCCGCTCGCCGAATCCACCATGCCCGTCCCCTGGGAGGTACGTTTGCTCACCGATATCAATTGCGAAGCTGACTTCAGGCCGTCCTGCCCTTTGGTGAGTTGCGCCGTCAGACAGCGCAACCGATTCCGATCAGCGATCCTCGTTGTTGTGGCGCATCGCGCTCGCTGCCGGTGCCAGCGCCAGCGCTCGGATGTAGCCTGCGGAACACTAACCACAGGTCTTGTGACCATCATGTTCGGTGCCACCGGCACCATCTTCAACATCATCCAGCGCGGCCGCAACGACTGGAAGGTGAGCTTGGCAGGTTGGCGCAAGCTAACGCCAGCCTCCCCGCTACGGCATCGACCGCTGGGACAACATCATGATGGAGCGTGACCGCCGGTTGACAGGGTCCAAGCGCGGACAGCGTGTGAGTCGGCACGGAGCGACGGGGGACGAGCTGACGGCAGACGGACCCAATCGCACCACCCGAGTTCGCGACCAACTCGGTGTGGACGACGGAGAGAATTTAAGTCGCATAACAATCGACATGCATAGGTTTCGGCAGCCGCGCGAGGGGCGGAGACGAGACGAGAGGCTGTGAAAGGTGGCAGGGCGTACGAGCGTCGTTGGACGGCGGCGCGGTGGGCGCGAGATCCTGACCGCCAAGGACAGCGAGCAGGGCTCCAGTATGCCGTGCAACACCGGTATGTGACTGCCTGCGTTGCCTGCCTTCCAGCTTCCAGACCTCCACTGGGGTTGGTGTGTGCGCGTGATTGTGAGCAGTGGAGGATGCGTCTCAAGTCATTCTGTGTACATTGCGCTCCGGAGTGCGCATACGGCGAGCGCCAGGAATGATTCCTGTCTGCGAAGCTGCCATGTGCTTCACTGCCGCGCCACCAACTGCGGCCAGGTGCTTAGCGTGAACGACAGGGCGGGCCTGAGGGCGTTGAGAGTGCTGGACAGAGGGCTCACTGTCGCCCGTCCGTCCTCGTCCTGGATAAGGCTGCTCACCTCCATCATTCAACTCGGAGGGGAGGTATGACAGCTGGCATTATCCAAGTCGCCTGAGTGTGATCCGTGTGCTGCCGCGAGTGAGTTATTGGCCTCTCGAGCAGGGCCGATAACGCCCACTCCCGCGCCACACAGCTCAGAGGATGTCCAGACCGGTTCACCAAGTGTAGGTCACTCCGCTGCCATCAGCGGCGCTCTGCCACTCAGCATTCGTGTCATGTTCACTCTTTCTAGAGTTACTGGTACTCAGCAAGCGGTCGCGGAATGCTGTCGACTACCGTTCCCCTTTGCCAAATGACGACAGCGGCTCTTGCTGCATTCCGCTTCTGCTCGTTCTAGCTAGCGATAATGACAAACGCTTCTCGTCTACAGCTCTCGTGCCAGCTTGCCTGTAATCGCGGCATGTTTGTGAGCTTGCAGCTGTGGGGATACGGGGATCGACGTCACTCTGACCTCCACTTCCGAAGTCCCACACTACTTCGCGGTCTCCTCCACTGCCTACATGATCTAGCTCATCCTCCGACATCCACCACACCTAAGCCGCTCTCATAGCACTAGTGAGCATGGTACATGCCTCCGCTGACCGCTGTGCCCCTTCCAACTACCCAGCCCCCTCTCGCAGGCCATCTCGGGCACTTCTCAACCCATGAGGGCAAGACCTACCCCTACTTCGTGACTGGCGACGCGTCATCGGACAAGGCCGTCATCTTTATCGGGGGACTGTACAACGGCCTTGGTGATGTGCCGTATACGCGCGCTCTTGGCGAGGCGCTAGGCAATGCAGGATGGAAGCTGTAAGTGCTTACCCCGGCCGCGGCCTGGAGGCCTGGCTCCTAAGTTCTACAACAGTCAGGCCCCGTCTTTATTCCGCCTTGACTTCCTCAGACGCTGACCTCAGTGTTCAACTCCACTGGACATCAGCCTACGAAGGCTTCGGTACGTCGTCCCTCACTCGCGACGTGAGCGAGCTGCACGCCCTCGCGGCCCACCTGCGCGACCTGAACACGTCCAAGGTTGTCGTTATGGGCCACTCGACGGGCAGCCAGGACGTGATCCACCTTCTGACGACGCTGGGCGGCGCCGACGGCGGCATCATGCAGGCTCCTGTCAGCGACCGTGAGCACTTTGCCGTCGACAAGACCACGCAGGCGTGGGTCGACATGCTGCCTACTGCGACGGCCATGGTGGACGAGGGCCGCGGTGACGAACTCCTGCCCGCCGCGTTTGCGAAGGAGGCCCGCATTAAGATGAGCGCATATCGTCTTTGGAGTCTGCTGTCGCCGAGGTGAGTTAATGGAAACGGGCGACGTGCTCCCTGTCATGGGATGGGCAGCTTGCGCCGCCCTAGACAAGGACGCGACAACGCGCTTCACGCGTCGACATTGCGACGCCGCGTTTCACAACATCAACCTGTATTGTCACGGTCACGCATTGTCCGGGAAGCGTGCGCAGCTGAAACGCACGCCCGTACGCCGGTCGCATCAGTTGCGAGTCTCGGGGTGTGCGGAGTGGCGTGGATCCAGTTCGGCTCGGCTGCGGGCCAATGTCACGCCGTTCCTCGCCCGGCGCCCATGCTTCCCTGCAACTTTGATGGCGGTGCCAGTAATCCGTCCCTTTCCCGCTCCCTATTCCCTCGATACCTCATCCCAAAGCTGACTCCAGTGGAGACGACGATTATTTCTCCTCGGACCTGCCCGATTCGGCGGACGGCGTGCACAAACACCCTCTAAGCGAGAGCTTCGGGGCGCTCAGCGTACCCGCCCTTGCTCTCTTCTCAGAGAAGGATGAGTTTGGGCATGTGGCCGACGTGGACGCGCACCTCGCGCGCTGGCGCAAGGCCGCGAAGGGCAAGCTTGAGACGCACGTCGTAGACGGCGCGAACCATGCTGTTGAGGACGCGGCACACTGGCCCGACCTGTGTGCTGCCACGGTAGCTTGGCTCCAGAAGCACTTCTGAATACAATGCAGACGGTGAGCTCGAAGCAAGAGCCTTTGTGTACAGTAGGGGATAGAGTGTACCATAGCAGCTCATGACTGAGTCGTGGCGCGATCAACGAGCCATGCATATGCAGATGATGAGTGTGACAACAAATTACGGGACGGGGGAAAGTAGGGTACAGATAATGCTGGGTGTGGACGTGCGCAGGCGTGCGCATGGGCGTGGTGCAAGGTGCAGGTGTAGATGTAGCAAGAAGGATGTCAGACAGACATTAGATGGGCGTGAATCCGCGGAAGGTGCCGAGAAGCCTGATGCTGCGACGGCGCTTGGGGGTGGCGGGCGTCGCGTCTGGGGTCGGCGGAGTGGTGCTGGGCGAGGGCGCGGCAGAGACGGCCGAGCCATGCTCATCCGACGAGTCGGTGGTGAGCGCGCTAAGACTCTTGCGGCCAAAGAAGGACAGCGAACGCTTGACGGCGCGTGCGGGCGAGATGGCCATCGGGGTCGTACTCCGCGGCAAGTTGCTGGTCGTCTGGCGACGAGGAACCTCGTTCTTGACCAGCACATAGGAGTCCTTGTCGCCACGCATGGCGCCGGTGCTCTGGCTCATCATGTCTGGGAAGGCCTCAACAGTCGGCGTGATAGGCGACGACGGCATCGAGCGCGCGCGGTTCAGCGACTTGCGCGGCTTCTCCTCCTCGAGCATCTCATCCTCCATCATTTCGAGGGGCGACTGGACGAGCGGCTGCGAGAGCGTTGAGGCCGATTGGGCGCGCTGGTGGCCGGCTCTGGCGGCAGGCCCCATCGTCATCTCCAGACCACGGAGTGAGGACATGGGGGAGCGCCGACGGTGCGCATCGCTGAGGGATGACATGGACGTGTTGCGCGAGATGTCGGCCAGCTCCTTGTCCGGAGTCGGCAGGATGAACGAGCGCGTGCGCATGAGCGAGCGCGGGCGAGAGCCAGGGATGACAGCGCCGCGCACCTCCTGCGTCGAGACGACGTCAAGGGGTCTCATCTCGGAAAGACCAGCCAAACTTCTCCGGCGGCGCAGCTTGGGCGTTTCGAAGCGTGACATGCGGCGCGGGTCGGGACCAGATGGATACTGGAACTGAGCCTTGCTTCGCGCCGTGGCGAGACCCTCAGAGATGACGTCTCCGAGCGCACGGTCGACCATGAGGCGGGTGGTCAGGGATGGGCGGCGAATAAGGACGTTTGAGGGTTGGAACTGGCGGTACTCTGGCGTGTATTCGAGATCCGGCGAGTCTTCGAGTGGCATGGGTTCCAGGGCAGGCGGCGTGCCGAGTTGCTTCGTGGGAAGCTGGAAATCAGCCGTTGCCACAAGCGTGTGGCGCTTGTTGAGGCTGAAGGTCTCGGAAGGGAGCATCGACGACTGCTTGCTGGGCGTTCGCGATGACGCATCTCTCGAGGTCGTCGACGAGTGGCGCGACCGAGTTTGGAACAGCGGCACGCTGGAAGGCAGCTCAAACGGAGGCATGGTGCTTTCGTCGCGAGCGGCCTTGAGTTCAGCGGCCCACAGCTCCTTCTCGGCATCGCAAGATGCAGCGAGGTCAAACTTGTGGTCATTAATGGTGAGACGGAGACTAAAAGGCAAGGAGCCTGACGTCAGTTATCTCCATTAAATTCCCGTAAACCTACCCTCGGTGATGTCAATTAGTTCAACTACCTCAAGTGGCAAAAAGTGGCGAGCCTCGAGCGTCTTGTTCCGCCTAACTTTTGCGAGGATCAGATAACCACGGTAAAGCAGAGCAGCAAAGTAGCGAACCTTGGTCGGGCGATCGAGTGGCGCATGAATAGGATGATGGTAGAGGACGTCGAGCGCACCGATCAATCGGCAAGTGCCAAGTCGGTTAAGGAATTCCTTGCTCAGGGCATTGTGAGGCTCGAGGCATTCAGCCACACGTGCCGTCTTGAGTTCTGCCTCTTTGCGCAGACGAGCGTCGTCGGCGTTCTCGGCCACGGCACGCATGACGGCCTGTGCCGCCTCGACAGATTCCACGACGTCATTGGGCGGTGCCTCACGGTTGATGTCGGCCAAGAGAGATGCAAGCAGCAACGGATACCGACAAACGCGCTGAATGGGCGCAATGAGAATGTCCTTGAAGCGCAAGCGTGTGCGGCTCGGACTTCCCGGCTTGTTGTAAAGCATGTCCTGCAGCGAAGCCTGGGTCGTCTCGGATGTAATGTGCTGGCAGCGCTTCTCAAAGTTCTCATAATCGACGCGGTGGGTGATGTCGCTCACCACGCTCGAAGCGACCATTGAGCCAGCACAGTAACCGCTGTAGAGCCTGAAGCTGGGAACCTCTCTCACGAAAAGGTTGGCGAGTTCCTTAGTCACAGTGTCGAGAGTCTTCGAGTCGCAAACGTCGTAGCCCAGGCCAGAATACTTGAGAATGTCAACCATGTGCGCCGCAAACTGGACGTGGAACTCGAGGAGATCGACCGAGTTACGCGCGATGTGCTGGTGGATCCTGTCCGAGACGAAGGGAAGAACGGCCAGCTGAGGCAGGTAAACATATACGAGAGCACGCAGCTGGTGAACGTATGTGACCTCGGTCTCAACAATCTCGAGAAGGATCATCCGACGGCGGTCAAGAAGGGCTTGGGAAACCTGAGCTAGCTCGGCGCGCTTGAGCTCGTCGCCCTCTTTGCCATTTCGCACACTCCGTGACAGCGACGTCTTGGTCGATGGTAGAGATGTTGTCAGGATTGACGGCGATGAGAGTGAGGGTTCGGATATGGAGACCAACGAGATGTTGTCCATTGCGTGGGGGTCGCAGTGGAGGGACGTGGTCCGCGTTGGGACGTCTTGCGACAGAAGAAGATGCTTTCCGAGCGAGCTGGAGCGCTTTGGGACATGCTTGTGGGAGATGGTGAGGTCAGCCAGGCTGAGGAGATCGGCGGGGTGGTCGGCGCTGGAGATCGGCGCAAGACACTCGGACACCGACGCCTTTCGGGGATCGGGACCGAAGCCGTAAGGGAGATTGTCGAGTTGTGCAACCGCTGCCATGTCGCGCCGACGTGCCACGTCAAAGTCTCCAGAGCCCCAGGACGCCCGGCGCTTGTGCTTCGAGGGTTGCTTTTGTGGGGAAGATGGGCTCGAGAGGTGCTTTACGAGGCCCAGCGTGGACAGTGACCTCCGCCGAGACACTGATGTGCCCGGTTGCGGTGAGCGAATGGGGCTGAAGGCAGCACCAGTGCCGGCGAAACCCCCGTCTGAAGTCGCACGTTTGACCCCAGTGCGAGATTGAGATGGCGAGACAGCATTGGACGCCGAGGCAGATTGCGAGGTTTCGGGCGTCACCACATGTTGCCCCCTTTGCGATGCGCGAGCTCCTCCGCTCAGAGGATATGAGGAGAAGAGGGGGGCGTCTGGTGAATGGATCGGAATGGAGATGGGAGAGGGTCGATGCCTGCGATCTGGGGACGCAGGCGATTCGTCGGCGGTAAGTCGGGCGGTGTGGAAGGAGCGAACATCGCTCGTGCTCGAGTTGCGGCTCGAGCAGGGTGTGAGGCCGTGCAGCGGCGAGGAGAGAGTAAGGCCGAGTGATGACGTCCGCCGAGAAGATCGGGAATCGAGATGGGCGATCGACGGGCCGGCGAGCGCCTCTGTGAGGGCGGTGTGTGTAAGGGCCATGGCGGTGTCGGACGAGTGTCCACGGCAGACCGGGGGGTCTCACACGCCGGGCTCACTGTAGGGAGGAGTGACAGGAAGGAGAGATGCGAGATGCAGCAATGATGACAGCGGACAAGAGGCGTCAGTACGTGATGCTTCGCTGTGTGTAGTGGGGTGGCTATGGCGGTGGTGGCACAAGGCTTACAGCTCGAAGCTGGGCAGGGCGAATACGACGACGCTTGTGGGATGGGACTTGGGTCGCTGTGTTTTGGTGGGGTGGGGGGCCGGCAAGAGGAACGAAGGCTGGCTGCCGTAAGGCCTGTTTGATACACCAAAAGTCGTCAAAATTGGGAGATGCTTGCTGTCGTCGTCTGTCGAGGGGCGACGACGGCTACTGGGTGTTGAGATGCAAGATGCGAAGGAGATGGAGGGGCAACGAGATCTTGGGACCTGGAAAGTGGGGTGTGGGCGCAGTGACCGTTATTGTGGCCAGCGGTCGATGGAATTGGCGGGCTCAATGGGGACGGGGGGTGTGGAGGAGTGTGTAGAGTGTGACGAGACAATTATAGAGAATCAGATAGAAACAAGTCGAGTGCTGCGTGAGGGGAGAGAGCGGGGTGTGGCAGATGGCAGATGATGGGGTGGTGGTTTGGTGGTGACGGATGTCGATCCCTGTGGTGATCCGATGATCCGTGTGAAGACGACCTGCGTGGGATCCGTGCGAATGACCGAAGAGCGAAGAGATCGCCGATCCTCAATGTCGACAGTCGTCGCCTGGCCTGGGAAGAGATGTGATGTGCTTGTCCGACTAGTCGATGGATAGGTTCCAAAGACTTTGATGACTGTCAAACGTGTGTGTGGTGAGGGTGGACGAGATGGGCGGCAGTCTAGTGTGATGCAGGGACGGCCGCTACGGTGTAAGGTGTACGGTGAGTGGCTCGGTATGGGCGGAGCAATGTCCTGGCTGTCCTGGTTGCGTTTCTTGGCACGGCCCGTGAAAGGAGTACCGACTGACCCTGGGGCCTCGACGATTGGCGTTACAACCACCAATGCACCTGCGATGCGAATGTGCAGAATGTCGACTGCACGCCGGGACAGGACAGGGGAATGGGTTTGACCCAAACTCTGCTGTGCAACAAGAGTGTTACACTTTCAAGCCCAGCCGAGATGTGTATGTGCGTACTTTATCTTTGCTTCTTGGCGTTATGGCCCGGGGAGGGAGGGAGGTCGTTTGTGGGTGTGTGCGGACTGGCGACCTGGAGAACGGGTGGTTGTCTCCGATCAAAAAAAAAAAAACAAGAAATGCGCCAAGGGGTCGGAGGGAGGGATTAAGGGATGGAATGACGAGCTCGCGACGCTTGCTGCTGCACAGGACGTGCACACCGACAGCGAAAGAATGTTGGGTGGCGGAGAGAGGTGTTGTGAGAAGATGTATCGTGACGGGACCTGCTGCGAGCGCTTGAAGCGACCTCGCCCTCTCTGACGTGAGTGACTGCTAGCTGGCTGCGGTGCGGCAATTGCATCAGGATCGATGAGAACGATTAAGTGGTGGTACGCAGGACGCCTTGCTGCTGCTGCTGCTATTCCGCCAACCCCGGGTGCCTGCCCTGCCTGGCTTGCCCTGCCATGTCGCCTGCAGGCGACAGGATCTAGCAGGATCTGGGTGCATGCCATCTCGCTATGTGGGGACCTGATGGTCTGGTGGCCTGCATGGTCTGATGACTGCTGGCAGCGGTGCAGTTGCGAGCAGACACGTTCCTGAGAGGCATGGGATCCCATAACCTAGACAAGAAAGGTGCAGGGAGCACTGGCACAAGAGCAGAGGAACTCGAGGCAGGTATTTGCAGGAGAAATAAACGCCAGCCAGTAAAGCCAGCAAAAGCCTCATGATGACATTGCGGCGTCGTCATTCCATCCCATTTCAGGCCAGCTCGGCCAGGTGAGGTGATTTTTGCCATCAACCCTGTTCAATCCGCGATCCTACCGCCGTGGCCCGCTCAAATCGGCAAGACTTGTAGTGGGCAGTAGGTCAGCGGGCCACTGTGGGCAGTAGTAATGGCCGATCTCCTGTGAGACATCCCGGGCAATTACTCTCTCCAGCTCTGCCGTAGAATCAAGCTGTCTCCCTTGATTAACCTGATTCCCTTTGCCGTTCTCCCAGCGCCGCAAACGTTTCGGACTCACCCGTCATTATTATAGGGAAACACATCCAAATACCCATGGGCCCACGGGCCATACCTCCTAGCGAGGTTGCGATTCTGCCAGCCAGATCCTTTCGCTTGAGCTTGCGAGCTGCAGTCACCGGCCCGCGCCCTTTCATCTGTACCTCTCCCATAGCCCGACATACCTCCTGCACCCAGAGTTGTCCTCCCCAAGCGATCACAAGAGTTTTTACTCTTCTCCCGCCAGGGCTAATGTCAAACGTTCCCTCGCCGTGGATTGATACCCGGGCGGCGCCGGTTCGGGAGCAGGGAGACTCGGGTGGCGCACGCATCGCTGGGCCGTCAGCCAATTGACTATGCAACGGTAGTTTCATCTGTCGACATGCGGATCCCACTCTGCAGCCGCTGGGGTCGCAGAGCTGGTCGTAGTATGTAGGGCTGCATATTCGACAGGACGTGTGATCAACGAACCCTCGTTGGCCGTTGTCCACATACTTTTCACGCCGGCAGAAAGCATCCGCGGCAGTCGAGGGCAGGTTGCGTAACTGGGTCCGTAAGTGCTGTAGGCGGCATGTACTGCTTCTCACAACCTTCTGCGCGCAAGAGCACTTCGCTAGTAGCCCTATTCAATATATGCCATCGATCGATATATGTAAAGTCTTACGTAACACACCTGCCCAAAGAGGCAATTTTTACTTCCGAATTTCATCGATAAGTCACGTCGATATCGTGAGCCCATTTACGTCGTTGAAGTCTCATCCACTTATCGATTGAATCTTCAAGTCCCTCTAGCTCGCCATGTACCCACCGCAGACTCCTCAAACCACCACCAATCGACAGCCCAGCATCGACTCTACCACCCATGCTCGATACGGATCCAGAGGACGAGCAGATCGCGAGATTTCAGCGTCTCCTTCAGTACGTCAAGTACGTCATTTCACTACGGCGCGCTGACACCCATAGCCCTCCATGGCTCCTCTACAGGTACCGCGCTATGTTGACGACGACGGTACGGAGTACTGGAAGCAACCTACCAAAGGCGTACGGCCTCGCTGGGATAATGACGGCTACGGGAAGGGCCGCAAAGCAGTCCCTTCCTCTATGGAGCTGATCTTGCAGTTCTTCGAGGCAGATAGCCGTAACTGGTCTAGATTCAAGGCTGGCTCGTCAGGCCAGAAGGGCGTATCGGTTGCCGACAACATCAGGCAGTTCATGATCCGTAATCGGGCCCAGTGGGCTAGATCACCCGATAAAATCAAGCTACATGTTGAGGACTTCTACCGCAACACGTTTCAGCCTGCTCTCTCCATTGCGAACGACACAGGCGTTGGCGAGGGCTCCAAAGTGATCTTCAAGGGCCAGACGTGGGAGATTCAAGACTTATCAGGTGTGTTCGTCATGATCTAGCCGCGTTCAAGCGTCTATCGAAGCTAACGTGAAACAGAGGATCTTGAGAAGATGTGTCCTCGGTTCAAACGATGGCGAGACGTTATCGGCGACAAAACTGCCGTATATCGTGATCTTACAGGCTCGATCGACACCCTCGCCAGCAACAGCGACACCCTAGGCTCGTTCGGACTCAGCCTCGGGCGTGCAGGCGCAAGAGACGGCGACGCGGTGCTGATTGATGAGGAGGATGTCTACGAGTACCTGGACGATCCCGAGACCGATGTTGACGCCGACTCAGTGGTGTCAGGGACGCCGGCGCCACCACGATCGCTGAGGAGCCTACCAGGCTCCTATTCATCACAGCATGAAGACTCAGCGTCGTCGCTGGCCTCAGGATCCTCGCGCAAGTCAGGGAGATCATCAGCAATGGAGATCAAGGCTTTCGGGCTCGAGACGGAAAAACGCTTCCTTGCCACCGATGAGTGGCGCGAGCGCAAGCTCCAGCTCATGGAGCGTCAACTGAGGCAAGCAGAGGAGCTTGCGCAACGCCAGGCCGAGAAGGAGGCTCGGGACGAGCTGTTCAAAGTCAAGCAGTTGTGGACAACATCGTATGCTGCCGTTGCGAGCCACCTAGGCCACGAACAGGCTGTTGAACATGCGAGGCTGATGTCCGGGTTCGATGAGCGTACTCAGACCATGTATCGTGGCCCTACGTAGCTTCTGAGGCGATGAATTGAATGTACGGGCTGCAATTTCAGTTGATTTCTAGACGTAAATTTGAGGTGTTGTTGGGGCGCAGAGGGGCGCAATATCAGAGGAGGGACCTCCACATGAATGTGACTTGTCTTGCAACCATGGTAGCTCTTTCCACGCTGCTCCTACGTGCTTGCGCCATAGCTCATTTGATAGGTCTCGTCCAGGGCTATCGATTGATGTCACTGCATATCTTCTACGTTCACTGGTCGGACAGGAAACAGCTCTCGCATTCGCTGCGCATCTAGACGTTTGTCCGCGACTGCCGTAAGCCATGCCACGTACTCACGCCTCTGGTAGTCGACGTTATCGACGCCGTGGGGCTCTGTAGCCTCCGTAGCATCTGCGAGCGCCTCCTGCTCCTCTCTCTCAGCCACCTCTGCACGCAATTCAGCCTCCGAAGGCTCGTAGGGCGGCGCAGTATCTATATACAGGTTGTGCAACACCATCGCAGCCTTGACCACCTCCCAGGTGATGAGGTGATCAAATTTGCGGTGACTGAGGCGTGCGCCGAGCCCCTTGAGGGCCTGCCAACGTAGCTTGAGCATCCCAAAGGCGTGCTCTATCTTGACACGAGGCTGCGCGCCCTTGCGGTTGAAGTAGAGCTACAATCAGAACTGAAATGTTGCTGACGCACCATATGGGGCTCATACGGTCTATTACGAGGCTTCTTGTAGAGCGGGAGGACGTATTCAGTGCACTTGAAGCCAGCGTCGCAGAGGAGATACTCACCCTTGGAGAAGAGGAGCTCAGGCGACGTTGTCAACGTACATTCACGTTGTGCGCGCATATCCGACGCCGCGCCGTTGTAGCCAGCTTGCAGATACGTGAACCGCTTGGTTTCATCGCATGAAGCGATCATCATGAGGGAGTAGCAGCCCTTGCGGTTGTAGAACTTAGCCTGCAACTGCTTCTCGAGAGCAGGTGCACGATCTAAGACAACGTGTACGCCATCTAGAAAGCCGACGCAGTTGGGGATATCATAATCGGCAGCGATCGCACTCTTGATTGCTAGCCTGCGCTCCTCTGTAGGCCATTCTATCACCGAAGGTGCTAGCTTCGCGACTGCGGCGGCTCCTCGAATGAAGTAGTTGAGTGCAGAGGAGCCTTTGAAAGTCAGTCGCGTCTGACTGCCTCTCACGAGTGATTCTGAACTTGTCTGCTACACGATGAAACGGCAAGGCCTTGTGGGCTAGTCGGTATAGAAAGCATGCCAACTGAAGCGATATCGGAGCTTGCTTACAGCCTCTCCCTGGCGTGGTGGGCCACAGAGGCGTTACACGCTCGAGAAGATCACCAAACTCAGCCGAGTTGAGACGTATCTCTTCGACAGATAGCGGTGCACTGTTCGAGAAGCCGTTGGCGTTGTTGAGCGATCTAACACGACGCTGATACTTCCTCGGTCGACTCGTGTACCGCATGAGGAGCAGACGATGTAGGTATTCGAGGTGCAGGGCTCGTAGCTCGAGGATCTCAGAGGTTTCGGGCTCACGCATCAGTAGTCGAAGCCGAGCCTGCATGACTTGGATGGTGAGGTGGCGGTGGGTGACTGCAGGCATGTGCAGAGTTTCAGCAAGATCTGAGCAGTGGAAGTGAAGATAGAGACGATGTTAGGTGTAGGTAGACAGCCTAGAGTGCGCGATGTCGACGAGATCGACGCGTCGCGACGCGTCTGTATCAAGTACACCTAATTGATAAGAAATGATATCAAATGACGTGTAATATTTGCGTCCCTGAGTTTCCCAGAGTCAATATATCACGTTCATCGATCGATATGAGCGATATCTATGGATCGATCAAAATTGATATATTGAATAGGGCTAGTGTAGAGTAATGTCACCCGTAATCCTATAGCAAGAATCAGGACATGTCAGTGTCAGCAGAATACCTTCTTAGACGACCAAGCGACGTCATCACTGGCGTGACACCTCTACGACCACTATGCTTCTAGCCTAGGCATTGATGTCTGCACCCCAATCTTTGTGGATCGTGGAGCGCGAATGGCTAGTCACTTGCGTATGCAACATTGGGGCCACCACTCCTCAGACGGACACTTGCATGAGTCATATGTACCACTAGCACCGAGCTATGACACCATGGTGAGCCCCACGTGAGCGCTGAAGAAGGCGGACAGGCAACCTCTGCTTGCGTTCCTGCATGGGAGGCAGCCCGGCCAGTGGGGCCAGCGGAGGAGGGACGCTCCGCTTGCCGAGGCTCACCCACAGCCGCTGTTCTGCAAGGCACGAAACGTGACAGCGGGTTTGGTGATCGCTACTCTCTCGCTACGGTCCGCAGTCGACATTGGACGCGGAGGATGCAGAGGATTCCCATTATTTTTCTCCCCAGAGGCTCGCTTGATCGTCTGCTGCTCGTGCGCTGACGAACGCCAGTGGCGGCCGCGGTTTCTCACATACTGGAGCTTGAACGGAGTGGGCCTGAACCTGTTCCTCCGTGCCTTGCCTATCTCCGGAAGGCACCAGTTCTTTGGATTGCTTTGGCCCCGATCACAACAAATCCCCGTGCCACCTACCCAGGCTGGGTGAAGCTGGGTGGCGATAATATGGCCTTGAAACATGAGACGCCGGTTGTGGCTAAGGCACGGCAGCCGACTGTCGATCACACAAGTGTTCCGAGACCCAGACGATGAGCAGTGGGAGGGCGCACAGCATGGCTCTTGATCGGCATCACGCTTCATGGCTGCAAGGTGGACGCCGATCAGACTTCTTTCGGCAGAAGCCGTCGAGGGATGGACTGCGATCGAACATGTATGTACGGCCTTTCCGCTGCGGCGGTGTCCACGCCGCGCCATGGCATGGGGCGTGGGACACATCTGGCTCGCGGATCGTGGAATACGGAGTTTATGTGCACATGGGACACTTTGCGCCTCCGTATGCACGCCACTTCCTTAAACGCGCAAGCCGTACGTTTATGCCATGTACCTCAGTTCTGCAGACTCGTACAGTACCGCAGACAGCTTTCACCAAGCATTCGTGTTTGCCGGGCTGGGGCTGAAACAGGTCCAGACGTCGTGGCAACGGCAACTGCCGAGAGCAACTGTCGTCGCCACGGTCACAGAACGCCGTGCCTTTGCGAACAGTTAACACTGGTTGAGGTGTGTATTACCTCTGCATCCGAGCAACAGAGCCATGCAGCTCGGCGTTGCTCGGCATCAGGCAGACGTTGCCTCAAAATGGTCCACGAGTCCACGAGACGGGAGCATCCCCAACGTTGGTTACATCCGCAACCAGCCATTTATTGTTTGGTTCCCAGGCCCGCTCCACATTCTGCGCTGCCCCTGTCAACTGACACAGCGTCTGGCAGTTGGCAGTTGGCATAGACATGCCGTGTGCTGCATGTGCTGCAATGCTGTATGTGTTCATACATGCATGACGCATTCCCGAGGTTGCGCCGAGCAAGATCCATGTATCAGGCTCCAACCCCGGAGAACGGGGCTTGCACGAGGCGCTTCCCGAACTTCCGGACGTCTGATACGTTGATGAAGATTCGCTTCCGGGCATGGGTATGCCTAACTAAAGATATGCCAGTCCTCCTCCGGTATTGGAACGGGGTGTGGGGATGGCATGTGAACGCATGTTCAGGACTCGGTGCCGTGCCCACTGAACTAGGCGCGACAAGCTGACTTGAATGGTGACCGTGGCGCGTCGCGACGCCCGGAGAAGGGCCACCAACCAACGTCGCCTCAACAAACATGAACTTGTGACTTCAAAGCTAACTACCTCGACAGCCCCAGCCAGCCGTTGTGCCGAGTTGGCTGGCATTTATAAGGGGTATGCCATCATTGGAAGGGATGGTGTAGTAAGCAGGCCAAGTTCGTGGATATAGGAGGGTGAGCAGAGCACCACGCCGGAGATGGCGATTGATCCGACTGACTTTCTCCTCTACGCGCTACTCAAAGCATGGCAAACGCTGTGGACAAGATGAGGAAAATGTTAGGGGCAAACATCCCGCGCTGCCCGATAGAAGCTTCAGAAGGCGGGGCGGAAATCGGCATATGTGGGGACTCCAACTCCTCACGTGGCTGCAATGGTCTTTTAGTGGTGCCTGAGCGCCATGAACGCGTGAACGCCATCCCGCCTGGCGCGACTGGGCCCATCCCGAACGAGACGCCCCGTCCTTACTCTTCACCTGCGTCCATTTCCCCGCGCTCGTCGCTATCGTAACCTACTCTCAGCGCATGCTCTTCTCGGATCGTCTGCTCGTCTGCAGACTCGCACCGCATGGGCTCATCTTGGCGGCGCTCGTCGCGCTGAATGAGACGCGCTTTGGGCGCCACTAAGGGGGTTCCCTGGGACAATGGATGGATGAATGCGCCCAGGACGGGAAAGAATGGTGATGTGAGCATCACCAGCCCTGCCTCAGCCACCCGCACGGGACACTATCTTCTTGGCTGCATGGGTGTCTTGTTGTGCACAACCCATCACCCCCACGCATCCATCTCTCACTTACTCTTCATTATTGGCCTTGCCACGACCTACAGCTCTCACCCCACTCACGCTCCTTACTACACTCTTTCGCCATGTGGGGATCTCTTGCCCTCGCCACCATCGCCCTCGGCGCTGCCGCGCCCGCCATCGCACAAGGTGCCACCTGCAATCAGACACAGGCGTGTCCCCTCTCGGCCCCCTGCTGCTCGCCCTACGGCTACTGCGGCAAGGGCCAGTTCTGTCTCGGCGGATGCGAGCCGCTCTGTACGTTGCTTCTTTGCAAGCAATCGCGCTAATTCAGACTCGAACAAGCTCACCTCATGCAAGCCAGAACCTGTGTGCCGCGACCTCGTTACCGACTTTAACGACTTGAGCCGCGTGCTCATGAACGGAACCACGTACGACGGAAATGTGACCTCGTGGGACTGGGTCGGTGCGTCACCGTGCAGCTTGTGGGGTTTGGTACTGATCCCCAGTCGACTCTGGCAAGCTCGAGCCAGCGCCCAACGGCGATGGCGCGCGCCTCACACTCACGGAGAAGGGCGGCACTAAGATTTCGTCGACGCGCTACGTGCACTATGGCTTGATTGACTTTGTCATGCGTGCGTTTGGTCGCAAAGCCCGCGCTTTGCGCAAGTGCACATGTTTGTGCTGACAGTTAGAGACATCAAACTGGCCAGGTGTTGTGTCCGCTGCCATCACCATGTCGGATGTCAAGGACGAGATCGACTTTGAGTGGCCCGGCGCCATCACTAACCAGGTCCAGAGCGTGAGTGCAAATTCATCGGCATAGTTGACCGCCAGAACTTCTTCTTCCTCGGTCACGTCAACTACTCGGACTCGAACGGCGGGTACCACAACCTCTCGGGCAACACAGCCACGCAGTTCCACAAGTATACGATCAACTGGCAGCCCGAGGTGCTCGAGTGGTGGATTGACGAGAAGGTTGTCCGCTCTGTCAAGAAGGCCGACACTTGGAAGGAGAGCACCCAGCAGTAGTGAGTCGCCTCGCCTGTGGTCAATTACTCTGTCCTCCACTTACACCAGCTACTTCCCTACCACCCCTTCGCGCGTGCAAATCTCGATCTGGCCCGCCGGTATCGAGGGCGCAGCCAAGGGTACCGTCGAGTGGGCGGGCGGCATGATCGACTGGAGCGAGCCCGACTACATCAACAACGGCTACTTCTGGAACACGATCAAGGAGGTCAGCGTCAGCTGCACTGACGAGCTCCCCATCACCGACGACACGACAGGTTACCAGTTCATCGGCAACGACACGGACAACGTGCCAATGGTCGGTCTCACCAACCGCTCAACCAACATGCGCGTGAACGGCGCTGGCGCCGTTTCGCCAGCCAGCACGGGCGTCACTTTGGCGCTCGCTGCCTCGCTTCTCTTGGCCTTCCCGGCGATGGCCTGGGTTGCGTAATTTTTCTTGGACTCTGTATGCCCCATTCCTCCGCCCCTTCATGCATATCTGCGACTGGTGACGTATCCAAATTCCGTACCAGGAGCAAGCCGCGTGGAACGTCGGATCAAGACGGCACGCCGGGTCGAAGGCGTTGAGAATTGAATGAGATGCGTTGACGCAGGCCGGAAATGCGCCGCAGCTTGGCGCATGTCTCATTTCACTATGGGAGCGGCACAGACCACATGTTGAGGCGTAGGCGATGTCATGAGAATGTAGAGGAATGATGGAGGCGCACTTCGCACGCACGCCATGGCCCTCTCGTTGGTACGTGCTCGTTCTCAATGGTTAGATGAGCAGATGAGGAGTTTGGCGTTGCCACGATTAGTTCAGGCAGGCATGCTTTCTTATGTCCCACACCTGCGGTGATCTGAATGCAGGGCGAACGCCGTGCCTGAGCACATGTCGGCGTCCCGCTTCTAGTGGGCCACCTTGGCGCCCCGACCCTGCAAAAGGAATGAGTGCGAGGAGCGACGGCCGCGACGTATATGGCGCCCCAAGTTGTACGATGCGGGGTACATGACGGATGACGACGAAGAGTGAAGTGCTCGAGATCGAGGCAGAGGGGAGAGAAATGAAGGAACTGGAACGATACGAAAGAAGGATCTGGAGGAAGTGGGACGTTGAATAGGAGGCCAGGTAATGCGTGGGAATGTTGAAGCGACGCGTGAGGAAGGGCGGGGGCGGGCAACGCGGCGTGGCGGGCGCGGGCTGGAATCGACGTCCACTCCAACTCGATCAGTCCACTGAATCAACTCCGTTCCCACTCACCATTTCCACATCTACTCCTCCCACTTCTCCAGATCGCTTCATCTCTCCCATGCCTCACACCATCCGCCCAACATGAGAGCTGTTGTGTGGCTGTCTTTGGCGGCATGCGGCGCTGTCCTCTGCACTGCCGCCGCCGCGTCCGCCCTCTTGACCGTCCTCGCCTTCAGTACGTCACAACTTCCACAGCTGCCGGCCAGACTGCCATCCCGCGTCGCTCCGCGAGCATTCAGCGCGCTCTGCTCTCCTGTTCACTTCGTAGCCATCGCCTGTTTGCTCACACCAGTCCCCATCTTCAACATTATCGCCATCCCGTCACTCATTGGGAGTCTGCTCCGTATGTACACCATCTGCTATGGCAGCCTTCTGTATAAACTCACAGCTAACACCGTGCTAGTCCTCATCCACACCCTTCCATTCGCAACTTATCTCTTGCTCGCACAGACCGACGCGCCCAAGCACAAGGGCACCCTCTTCTTGCCATTCAGTCCATGTGCGTATCTCCGGCGCTGCTTCAACCCTCCGGTCACCGCAGCCGGGTTTAGGGTCTTCAAGCGCTGCCTAACCCTCCTCCATCCTCATGCTTACACACAGCACGTCACCTCGGCATCCTCGTCGCCGTCTCCTCCTACCTTCGTGCAGTGATCACACTCGCCCCCAAGTTCGTCCTCACAGTCATCCGCACGGCATGGGAGCTCTGGAGATTGCCTCCACCCGACGATAGGTCTGAGAGACCCGAGCTGTCCTATTCCGCCACGACAGGATGGTGGTGGAATAGATATGCAAGGTGCGCCATCGCACGATGCCTTTGCGCCCTAGCTGACCTCAGCTTCGGAGTCAAGTATCAAAAGCCAAGGCGTCAAGGCGTAGCGTGCCGCCTCGACATCTTCCGTGCCCAGCCGAGCGACTCAGCTTCACTCAGTTGCTCGCCAGATGGCGAGGGTTTGCATGCTTCCCCGCGGTCCAGCGGTAGCTTTGTGACCCTTCCCGATGTCGACCCCGGGAGTAGAGTTGACCTGAGCGACTTCCCTCAACACATCTGGAGCCAGGTGCCGATGGGTTCACCGATCGAAGAGGAGAACAGCAATCTTCGGCCTGTCGTCGTGTTTCTCTATGACGTCGGGATGATGGGGCCTATTCACCCCCGTCGCTGGATGTTCAGCCTCAATGGGCTCCTACTGGCAAAGCAAGGATATGGTGCGTGACGTGCGCCCCACGATCTGCATCTGACGCCAGTCGCCGTTATCCCAGATATTACAACTTACCCGACTGGCCAGATGGCCGACATGGTGGCGGATGTGCGGGCTACACTTGCGTGGGTGCACGCGGAGATCCGCAACTACGGTGGCGACCCATCACGCATCTTCTTGTGCGGTCATGGTCTCGGTGCCCATTTGGGAATGTACACCATCGCTCAGGATGTGGTAGTACATTCGCGTGACAAGGTTGAGCTTCATAACGCCGCTGTCGACTGGGCTAGCAGAGGCTACAAACCCGACCCGGTCACGGCGGTGGCTGGTCGCGAAATCCCGAACGGCGTGAAGGCTCTGCGCATCTACGGCTCGGACGTCGAACTCCCGCCCGTCAAGGGCGTGATCCTGCTTTCACCCGTCGCGGACGTAATCAAGCAGGTGCGCCACGAGGCGAGATGCTGGCTGGAGCACGTGTCGCCGCTCCGCCGGTCTCTGGGTTCGAGCCAGACGCGCTGCATGCGCCACTCCCTTGGCCACATCCTCTTCGCCGCCAAGGACATTGTTGACGTCAACCTTCTCCCTCACAGTGCGCTCATTCTTCACGGCAAAAGCAACCAGCTCGTGCCGGAATGGCAGGGCACATGGCTCGCCGAGCTGCTCCGTGGCTTCGATTTTGATGTCACGCTCCAAGCGTATTCGCGCCTGGGACACTTTGACGTCGTCACGAACCTCATGGCGGGGTTCGAGAGCCGGTCCACGCCGTTTCTGTTGGAGGAGAGTGAGTTGCGTGGTGGCCTCTGGCCTCGTGGGTTATGGCTGACAATAGTCCGGTCGTTCATCGACAGCTCAGCCTAGCTTATCGGCCCTGCTTCAAAAGCTGAGCTTGGGTCACGGATCTCATCAAAAGCTCAACCTGGACCACGTCCGATTGTGATGTTGGATCGTCATGTTGCCATCACCCCCGTCTGTAGCCTATGCCACTAGAATACCAACATGCATGTGTACTAATCGTCAGTGAGGGAGGCTTGGTCAATAGGCTAGAGGCTCAACCTTTCCATGCGGCGCCGTCCTCGTTCGCGCTGCTGAACTTGGAGGGGAGTCCGACTGGCTGCCGACGGAACTGCTGAAGCCTTCAATGTTTGTTATGCCATGATCAATCGTTCAAACATCAATCTTAAGGTTGCCAAGGACACCTGAGTGAAGACGCCTGACTGTTAACAGTATAACCGCGTCTCTCAGTATTGACGCGTTGAGCCGCCTCAGGGGTGCCCACCAAAGTCGCGTCTCCAGCCTCATCAAAGCCAAGCAGGCCACCACAGCCACCACAACAGCGCTAGAGGCCGGAAAGGCCAGGCGTCGTGTGGGCTTGCAGCATCGCTGTAGTGTAGCGTGAAATTAGTAGCTCAATTGGTGGGATTAGACATGCGAACTTTAGTGTGGCGTGAATCAGTAGCTCAATCGGTGAGAATAAAGATGCGATCAAAGTCCCTCCATACTTCTGAACGGTATTAAATGATGGTAAACGACGGAATCCAGACTAAGAGGGGATCAGGCGAGGAGCGCGGCAGCGACGCCGACAACACCAGCAAGGACGGGAACAGCGTTGCCCATGGCGCCCGAGGAGGTGGTGGAGGCGGCGGGAGCCGAAGCCGAGGGGGCGGCAGCCGAGCCGGATGCGACAGCCGAGGCGGCGGAGCTCATGGCAGAGCTCATGGCGGCCGAGGCAGAGGACGCGACCGAGGCCATGGGGGAGGCGGAGCCCGAGGGCGAGGCGGCGTCGACGACGGCGCCGGCGGGGGCGGAGGACGCGGCGGAAGCCGGGGCGGCGCCAGTCGCCGACGCGAGGGCCGAAGTCGAGCCGCCGGTCAGGCCGTTGCCGGTCGAGAGACAGCCGGCGGCGAGGCGCGCAATCGCCGTCTTGAGCGCGTCGGCCTCGGCCGTGTTGCCCGCCTGGAGCTGGCACGCGTGGCACGCCACCCACTTGTTGTACTCGGCAGCCTGGGGTCAGTTGTTGTCGGAAGGAGGGATAAGGGAGCGCGGGGGTGAGGACACAAGCTCCATGATGGGGTCCAGAGGTTGGGGAGCGCGACAGAGCGAGGAAGAGATCGATGGACAGAGGCACGGGCCGCTTTGATCGATCGGCCCAATGTCGGACTCGCCCCGATAATGTTGCCCCGTCCACGTCCCCAGAACCCCTGGCCCCGGTCCTCCATCTACAACTCACGGTGCACACGGTCGCGCAGTCGGGCGACTCGCGGAAGGCGCAGAACTTCTGCTCAAAGTCGCACTGGGTAGCGCATGCGTCCTGGCGCTTGGCGGGCGAGGCCGAGACGGAGGCAGCGAGGGCTGAGGTGAGCAAGTGGCCTCGACATAACGTCAGAAGAGTTGGAGTACCCACCAGCAACGGAAACAAGGACGGGGAAACGCATAGTGAGTGTGGGTATCAGTGGGGATGGAGCACTCGATGCTGGCTGGCCGGCCTTTTGTGCTCACACAGCCGCACACAACATCCTCACCATCTGCCATGGCCCTGCTTGGCGGCTGGGCACTTGGCGAGGGCGGGGGTTAGTGGCTGAACTGTGAGCCGGAGGCCGGGGGAGGTGCCATGCGCGGGAAGTTGATGCCAGTGGTCACGGGGCGGCGCCAAGACTTGCCCAGATGCCAAGGTTCGCGCTCACGACCGCAACCTGTCGCCTCCCGCTCTCACGCCTCGCACCCTCGCCGCCTTCGCCCACCAGCGCGCTGCGCTGCGAACCGGACCCAGCGCGATTGGACGACCTCTGCACGATGCTGCCCGTGCTTGGCTTCGATGAGGTCACGAAGTGGCAGGTGGTCGATAGCAGGCACACATAGAATCTTGGGGACCCGAATCATGCTTCCCAACCCCGATCTGTCCCTGGCCCGAGGTACACCCGCACGCCTAATAATTCACGCTCAGACGGTGCTCAAACTGATGCTCACTCGCACGCCTTCCGCATGAGCAAAAGTCAAAGCCGAGATAACGAAGTGCTGCTGCGACACAAATGCAGATGCAATATGGGAGGGAGCTCTCTACTCCTTGACGGCAACCTTGGCCACACCGTCTGCAACCTCGTCCACGTCCTCGTCGTCTCGGTTCTCGTCCTCCTCCCGCTGTCTGTCAGCTTTCACCTTCTTCACAGTCTTCAGCGCAACACAGAATACTCACGTAGCGCGCAAGCATGCGCGAAATGTCCCACTCCTCCTGGCCCTCCTCCTCCTCGTCCTCGAACATCTCGCCGCCAAAGTCGAACAAGTCCTTGCCCGTCATACCTGTCAACTTGCCGGCCGCACGCTGCTGCTGCTTGGCCTTGGTAAGGGCCTCCTCCTCTGCCTCCTTCTTCGCCAAACGCGTCTTCTTCCATGCGGCAAAGGTCTCGGGCGTGACGGGAGTAAGAGGAGGCTTCAACTTGTGGCGCTACTGGTTAGCGATTGGAATGGGCGATTGAGCTCACCTCGACTTCGATGAAGTCTTCCAGCGAAATGGTCTCCTTCTCGTCGTCCTTCTTGTCCTTCTTGAGGACGAACCCTGGTGGAAGAGCATGGCGGTACATGCATGAGTCGCCACCATTGGGCTGGAGTCAGCTGGGTCGCGAGTCGAGGCCATCGACTTACGCAGATCCAGAACCATCCGTACTTCTTGTCCTCGATAGCCTGCAGGAAGTACTTGCACACAATCTATCGTCAGTGCCATTTACACTCTGAACACCCACGTCAGTCGTGTTCTTTTGCTTCCTCCCGTTCTGCGTGACGACCTCGTTGAGCTTAGCCTCATCCCATGTGTCCATGGTGTCTGCAGGTCAGCAACTCTCCTTCACCCTCGCCTTAGTACGCTACACACCTGTATTCTTGTCCTCGCCTTCACGCGCATCCTCGTACAGGTTCATCTTCTCAGCCTTACGCCCAACGTTCGGGTCGTGCGAGAACTTGCACTTCGCTCCCTTCTGGCAGATGCCAGCCTTGAAGTACGCGCAAAGAATCTGCAGTCAGTGCTCGTGCTCTCCCGCTTCCCAATGCGAGCAGCGTACGCACAGTCTTGGGATCTGGTGTCAGCTTGCCCTCATCTACAATCGCCACCCAACTCACCCGTCCCGAATGGCACCTTCTGCGGCTGGATAGAGCCGTGCAGCAGCTGTGCTTCCATCTTCTTTCGCTGCTCGGCGGCCTCCTTGGCCTTTTTACGCTCCTCGGCCTGCTTTGCCTTGGCGGCCTGGGATCAGCACACCCCGGCTGTCGGAACTCACATCTGCCTTGCTCTTGCCGCCCTCGGCCTGCTGCTTGTTCACCTGCTGCACAAACTTCTGCACCTTGGACGACTTGTTCTTATTCTTCAGACCGAAGGCTAATGTTAGCGCGTCGAACAGGGATGCTCGTACTCTTGTCGTCGCCCTTGTTGCTGGCCTTTTTAGGTGGCATGATGAGTGGATTGGGTCGTGTGAGCTGCGGACAGAGGGGGGCCTGATCTAGGCGTGCGCGAGATGCTTGAGGTCGCCTCGAATAAAGAGGTGCGCCTGCTGGTGGTACGAGAAGACCTTGAAGGCTTTTATGGAGAGTTGTAGCGAGGAGTTGTAGATTGTAGAGCCGTGCTCGACGACATTCACGATCTGACACTCCACTGGCAAAGGTTGAATCGTGTCAGGCACAATTTGTCAGGCTCATATGGGACTCGGTGGAGGTTCTCCACCCCCACCATAGGAATCTGTCGAACTCACCGCGTACGGTGGAGCAGGTGGTGCATGGTGTCCTCTGTCTGTGTCATCTCTGATGGTTGCAGCGCTACACCTTCCTCGCTTCGTCATCTGCCTCGCCTGCTCCCGTCCATCTACATGCATCTCTTCAATCGCCTTTCTCAATCTCTCAATCTTTCAATCTCTCATTCTCCCTCTTCTCATCCACATCTCTTCGTCCTTCGTTTTGCACACGTTGCATAGCATCTGTTCACTCATTGACCCCACTAACAAACACCCATGCCGCCCAAAGCAGCCACGAAGGAGAAACCTCTCAAAGGCGAAGAAGGTAAGCTCGACCGCGTCTCTGCACGGGATTCGCTGACCACAAGCGGAGCAAGTGAGCTGGTATCAGATGCACAGCTAACCCTACGAGATGGTGCTCGAGTACCTGCGTTCTGTGAGCTGTCGTGTGGTTGTCTCAGTGACCGAGTTTGACTTCAGGTCAACCGCCCGTACGCAAGTAGTAGGTGCTTTCCGCCATCCCTTATGTTCTCACAGCCAGCGGATGTGTCTGCCAATCTTAAGAACCGTGTAACCAAGACTGAGGCTCAGAAAGCTCTCAATGCTCTAGCTGGTGAGTAGTCTCATATCGTACAAGGTCAGTTAACTGGCAGAGAAGGGCCACCTCACTCTTAAGCCTTACGGCAAGCAGACCATCTTCGTGTTCAATCAGGTGAGTCACCTCAACGCGTGACCCTCCTCCACCCAGGCAACTGAGAATCGTCTTCCACTGGCGAGACGTCTCACGCTATCCCGTTCCCTCAGCCTCGCTAGCTCGCTATCGCTATGCAGATATCTGAGCTGACGTGCACAGTCTCAGCTCCCAGTCCTCGACCCTCATGAGTTGCTGAGGCTGGACGATCAACTGAAGGACGTCAAAGCGACACTTGACGAGCGTCGCAAGAACTTGAAGTCACTTCAGTCAGGTAAGTGCAAGCCGTTACGCGCTGACACCTAGACCTCGCCTCACTCGAGGCTCTGCCCAAGACGCAGGATCTTAGCAAGCAGATAGGCGACGTCACCGTTGAGGTGAGGCATGCTGTGCACCCAGTTATCTGATCCAGAATGAACTCACGCTCAACTCACTGAAAGCTTTCCGCGGGGAATCGGCTGTTGCCCCCATGTCGGCCAAAGATATGGTTCAAATTGACGCCGACTGGGAACACTGGCGCAAGGAGTGGACATCGCGGAAGAAGGTGTACAAGGAGTGGGGTGGATCGGCTCACGATCATGGGACCGTGCTGACGCACCAAGCATCTACACAATGCTGACCGACTGCGGGCTAGCCCCCGCCTCGCAGGTCGATTTCGAGGAAGAGCAAGGTGTTGAAGGTGATGACGAGGACACCAAGGTGGTCGAGGCTGGCGAGTTTTGTCAACCCGCCGGGCATGTCTCGGTGAAGCGGAGGCAACCGTCTTCCGTCGGAAAGCCTGGACATACTTCCTCGGCCAAGCGCGCCCGTACCTGAGACACGTCCTACGGAAAATCATGTAAGCCGATCCATGATTGGCGGCGTTTCAACATGGTCGCTGACGTACAGCCTAAGCACCAGACTCGGATGCATATCGGGTGGGATCGTTGAACGCCGCCAGTCAGGGTTGATGGCGGCGTCTTACCAAGATTTCTCTAGGCAGTCGTCGTGGCAGCACAAGGCGTCAGTCAGTACTGATCATGAAGGCACGCGTGATGTGGTTGGCAGGATGGATGTGCTAATCATGGATGTGGACTGCGCGGTATGGCATCCACGTCCACGCCATATAAGGGCTGCTTGTCGATCTCTTCAAGCCATCACCTCAGCACTCAACACCCCTTCAAATCAGCGACCTACTCGTCCTCACTCTACTCTCACAGCCCAACCTCCTCCGCGCCAACCTATTCACAACAATGACCGTCTCCAACATGTCCTTCCGCGACGCCATCGAGGTTAGTGCCAAGTGCCGAGTGGGAAGCGAACCGCTTCCGCACCTCTCACGATCTCACATCTTATCAGTGACTAACCACAGGCCCGCCGCTCGTACTACAACATCACAAACAAGTCGACCCTCTCCAACGAGCAGCTTGAGCAGCTCGTTTCGGACGCGATCAAGTACACGCCATCGTCGTTCAACTCGCAGACCTCGCGTGCTGTGCTCGTGACGGGCGAGAAGAACAAGGCGCTCTGGTCGGCGATTTGGGAGGCGCACAAGGCCAACCTTAAGCCTGAGGAGGTCGCTGTCTACGAGGACAAGTTCGCCAACTCGTACTCCGCCGGCTACGGTACCATTGTCTTCTACGAGGACCAGGACGCGATTGACACCTTTGTCAAGAACTTCCCCATCGTCCAGTACACCATCAAGGACTGGGTCCAGAACTCGAACGGCATGGCCCAGTACATTGCCTGGACGGCGCTGGCCACGCACGGCATGGGTGCCAACCTCCAGCACTACGGCCAGTACGGCCCCGCCAACGCCGAGGCCATCAACAAGAACCTCGGCGTCCCTTCGGGATGGAAGGTCCCCATCGCCCTCCTTGCCTTCGGCGTCCCCACCGACATCCAGGCCCCCGGCAACCCTGCCTACCCCAAGACGTTCCAGCCTCTCATCGAGGGTGAGACTGGCCGTGTCCTTGTCCGCCACTAAGCGGGGGGGGGGGCAGCAGTATGGGTGCAGTAGAATTTTAGATATCTATACATAGACATGTATTGTGTGTAACACGAGAGCATGAGCGTTGGAGCGGAAATCTGGCTGAGCATTACCGATTACATCAGAGGTGATCGCCCGATCGTCGTTGCGCGCAGGCCCAGACTTCCTTGCGGGGATGAGCATCAGAACCCACCACGGTCCACCACGTGATGAAGAATTCAGGCGGTATCATCATCTGGCCCGGAGAAATGCGATCATGACCGCCAAGCTCAAGGGTTGCCACGCAGTTCCTGGCAACCATCCTCAATCGTCCAACACCTCCAAACTCGCCAGAATGCTCGCAGAGGAGTCAACACAAGACATCCGATACAATGCGAGAGTCCTATGCATTGCATCCATGCGGAAGACGGGGTGCCAAAAGTGCCACAGGTCGTTTTGGGGGGATTCTCCGTGGGGCCGATTTGATCCCGCTGTTAGGCTCAGAATTGATCCCGCCGTCGACGCGGAGGACAATGCCACACCACAGAGTCACCTCATCCAACCCGTCAACCCCCCTTCCCTCCCCCTCTCAACCCCTCCACCCCCGCGCGTGGACCGCCGATTCCGACTGCCGCCCGAACGCGTCGCCTCCCACTGACATCCCCCGCACAACTCTGACCGCACGCGAGCGCGACTTGTACCCGGCAATACCACCGACAATAACAACAACGCCCACCCCATGACCGACGCCGCCCTGTCGCCGGCCATGGCTCAGCAAGCTCCCTCCCCAGCACAGGTGTCCACGCCTGGTGCTGGTGCTTCTCCATTTCCTGTCAGGCCGGGCATGCCTGGACAGCCACCATACTCTGTGATGCTCGACGACGAGAGCAAACGCCAGTTGATTCTCAACATGGATCCCCAGCGCGTCAACACCCTGCGTAAAGTGTGTGTTTCCCATGCATCCACTGACCATAGCGCGTCGCCGAGCTTCAGGCTGGCGGGCATACGAGGGAGACGTCTAACGAGATGGCGCGCTCACTCATGATCCTTTCTTTGCACCAACGCGCAATGCAGATGGAGAGTGAGAAGAAGAAGGTCCAGGACGGCAATGATGCCCCACCTGCCGCCCCAAGCCCAACACGTGAGTTTTGATGCCACTCTGTGCTTGTCTGACGATAGCACATCAACAACAGGGTCAGCATGTTGCGCTCACGCCGGCGCAGATCGCGCAGGTTCGCTCCCAGGCCCAGTCCTATCACCTTCTCTCGCGCAATCAGCCCGTGCCCGCGTATCTCCAGCAGGCCGCGCAGGGGTCTCAGCCATCCACTCCGTCATCCGCCACACTTGAGAATAAGGTCGCAGACAAGACCGTCGAGGCGGTTGTCGAGGCCAGCCTCCCAAATGAGGCGCCATACGCCATGGAGTTTGACCAGTCTTCCATCATCTACCCATACAACGCATACATCCACCCTTCAGTGTACGCGAATCGCAAGTTTGATGAGGAAATCACACACCCGCAGACCAAGCTGCAGCGGATGCTGGTGCCGTCAATCGCACCGCGTGGCCTCGACCCAAACATTCTTATGGAGGAGCGCAACCGCTTTGTCGAGACGCGCATGGCGTGGCGCATGAAGGAGCTTGAGGAGCTCAACTCGACTACCGGGCTTGGTACGCCAGGTGCGGCCGATGTGCCCGGCGTGACAGACGAGGCTTCGCTCCCCGACGCCAAGCTTGGGGTTGCAGCTCGCATTGAGCTCCTGAGCCTGCGTCTCGTTGGCAAGCAGCGGCTTCTCCGTGAGGACCTCGTGCGAGCGATGCATGGCTCGACGCAGATCCCCGCCGACCGCTCCCAGTTCCGTCGATTCCGCACGCACACCCTCCGTGACGCGCGTGCGACTGAAACCGCGGAGCGTCGCCAGCGTACGGAGCGCGAGCAGCGTGGCAAGCAGCGTCACCTCGCGTACATTAACTCTATCATCGAGCACGGGCAGAACGTCATCAACGCTGGCTCGACCAGCCACCGCGGAGCCGGCGCGGACAAGATGAAGCGCCTTGGTAAGGCTGTCCTGCGTATGCACAGCGAGATCGAGAAGGAGGAGCAGCGTCGTGTCGAGCGTCTTGCCAAGGAGCGTCTCAAGGCGCTTAAGAATGACGACGAGGACGCCTACCTCGCCCTGCTCGGCGAGGCCAAGGATTCTCGTATCGGGCATCTGCTCCAGCAGACTGACCAGTTCTTGGAGACGCTCGCGGCTGCGGTCGTCGACCAGCAAAACGACGCCGTCCACCGCGACGAGGTTCCCATGGCCCTCCCCTTCGAGGTTGAGGAGGGTCCAGCGTCCGAGGCCATGTTCGGCGCGCGTCGTCAGGACGGCGAGGAAGACGATGCGGAGCGCAAGTCCGGCAAGGTCGACTACTACGCTGTCGCCCATCGTATTCAGGAGAAGGTCACGAGGCAGGCCTCGCTCCTTACAGGTGGCACGCTCAAGGACTACCAGGTTAAGGGTCTTCAGTGGATGATCTCGCTGTACAACAACCGCTTGAACGGTATTCTCGCCGACGAGATGGGTCTCGGAAAGACCATCCAGACCATTTCCCTTATTACCTACCTCATCGAGAAGAAGCACTCGCCGGGGCCATTCCTCGTCATTGTGCCTTTGTCTACTCTTACGAACTGGACGCTTGAGTTTGAGCGCTGGGCTCCGGCCGTGCGCACTCTTATTCTTAAGGGCTCACCTGCCGTCCGTCGTGAACTGTACCCTAGGATTCGCGCGGGCGACTTCCAGGTCTGCCTGACGACATACGAGTACATTATAAAGGAGCGTCCATTGCTCGCCAAGATCAAGTGGGTTCACATGATCATCGATGAGGGTCACCGTCTCAAGAATATCAAGTCGAAGCTCTCCCAGACGCTCAACGAGTACTACTCGACACGGTACCGTCTTATTCTCACGGGTACCCCGTTGCAGAACAACCTGCCCGAGCTGTGGGCGCTGCTCAACTTCGTTTTGCCTAAGATTTTCAACTCGGTCAAGTCGTTTGACGAGTGGTTCAACGCGCCGTTCGCCAACACGGGCGGTCAGGAGAAAATGGAGATGAACGAAGAAGAGGCCCTCCTCGTCGTCAAGCGTCTTCACAAGGTTCTGCGTCCCTTCCTCCTGCGTCGTCTCAAGAAGGACGTCGAGTCTGAGCTGCCCGACAAGGTTGAAAAGGTCATCTACACGAAGATGTCCGCTCTGCAGTGGAAGCTGTACGAGAGCGTCAAGAAATACAAAACACTCCCGACCGACTTGTCATCAGGAAAGCCCCGTCGCCAGGCGAACCTCCAGAACGCCATCATGCAGCTCCGCAAAATCTGCAACCATCCCTTCGTGTTCCGCGAGGTCGACGAGGACTTCTCGGTCGGCAATCACGTCGATGAACAGATTGTACGCACGGCCGGCAAGTTCGAGCTGCTGGACCGCATTCTGCCTAAGCTTTTCGCGACCGGTCACAAGGTCCTTATCTTCTTCCAGATGACTGAGATCATGTCGATTATCGCCGATTACTTCGACTACCGTGGGTGGAAGTACTGCCGTCTCGACGGTTCCACCAAGGCCGATGAGCGCCAGCAGTTGCTGTCAACGTTCAACGACCCCGATTCGCCATACCAGGTCTTCATCCTCTCGACCCGTGCCGGTGGTCTGGGTCTCAACCTGCAGTCCGCAGACACTGTCATTATCTACGATACCGACTGGAACCCTCACGCCGACTTGCAGGCGCAGGACCGTGCCCACCGTATCGGTCAGAAGAAGGAGGTACGCGTGTTGCGTCTCATCTCGAGTGGCACTGTCGAGGAGCTTGTGCTGCAGCGAGCGCAGGCGAAGCTCGAGATCGACGGCAAGGTTATTCAGGCTGGTAAATTCGACGACATCACGACCAACGCCGAGTACGAGGCATACATTGCCAAAGCATTCGAGCAGGCCGCCGACGAGGATGAGGAGGAGACAAATGAGTTGGACGATGAGGAGTTGAACGAGCTTCTCGCGCGCGGTGACGAGGAGCTCTCCATCTTCCAGCGCATGGATCGGGAGCGCTTGGAGAACAAGGCGGCTGACTGGAAGGAGGCGGGCAACAAGGGCCCACTGCCGCCCCCACTCATGCAGGAGTCGGAGCTGCCGCCGTTCTACCGTCGCGACATTGGCCAGGAGATGGCAGAGCAGATTGCCTTGAAGGACGAGGAGGGCCGCGGACGCCGTGCCAAAGCCGATGTACGGTACACGGACGGTCTTACCGACGACCAGTTCATCAACGCGCTGGAGGACAGCGATGACGACATCGAATCGGCTGCGGAGCGCAAGCGCGCGAGAGCGGAACGCAAGGCGGAGCGCAAGCGCCAAAACGAGGTGCTTGCGCAGGCGGAGGCCGAGGGCAAGCCTCTGTCGTCGGTCATTACTACCCTCAAGGCTGAGGCAGCTGAGGGGCCCGGCGCCATAAAGAAGAAGCGCGGGCGGCCGAGCAAGAGCGCGACCCCAGGGCTGGGTGATGAGACGCCCCAGAAACGTCGCAAGGTGAACGCGGCCAACGCGCGCACTCCTGAAGAGCGGCAAATGGTCAAGAAGCTGTTCGAGGAGGTCAATAGTCTTGTCGATGACGGGACGGGCGAGCACTGGAACGTCTACTTCCTTTCGCCAGTCGACCGCAAGATCTACCCGGACTACTACACGATCATCCAGCAGCCTATCGCAATGTCGCAGATCAAGCGCAAGTTCTCGCAGCCCACATACGGCTTGAACGAGCTCACCACGGACCTGCGCCTCCTGTGGGCTAACGCACGAACGTACAACACTGAGGGCTCGTGGGTGTACAACGCTGCAGATGCGATGGAGAGCTACTACGACCGGCGCCTCGCGGAGGAGCTGCCCAAGTTCCCATCCGCAGAAGCGGCAGGTGGCACAGAGGAGACGACGCCCGCGGCCAGCGGCACCAGCACGCCAATGTACAAGGGCCCGGCGCTCAGCACGAAAATCAAGCTCAACGTCGGTGCCGCACGTCGTCACGAAATGGTCGACAGCGACGCGTCGCCGGCGCCACCTGCGGACGACGATGACGATGACGACGACGACGACGACTACTAAGCGCCGCCGCGTCTGTGTCATGTCGTAACAGGGTTGTTGACAGTAGAAGAGGTCTGTATACTTCAAACTTCATATGTATTTGTGTGCTCCTAGACGCGGTCCATGTGCCCTGTATGCTATGACTTGCGCACCGATGCGGTGTCGATGGCTACTAATCCTCGCCTCACCTCAGCTCGTTTTGGCCGATCGCGAACAACGCGAGGGTGCGACTCGTAACTGCGTGGCCCGTGATACAACACTGACGATGTCGGAGGCGTTGGCGGCGAGAGGGTCGGGATATGGGCGCAACAGGTTGGGCCGAATTCGGCACGTAGGACCGGGTGTTGTTCGGAAGTGCATCTCGAAGCCAGTTCGCAGATTAGGATGCGCTGGGGTGCTGGGGTGCTGGGTGGGTGGGGGGGGGGGGGGGGGCACCGCTTTTGGATCCGCAATGGGCTCATCTAGCAACAGCTCGCAGCCTCACTTCGCCATCGACGCATTCTACTGTGACTAGGAATAGCGTCGCCAGAAGCCACGCAGGTGGGTCACTTTGCGGTTCCGGCTGCATGCACCGAGCTCTATGGCCAAAAGTAGTCACAAGGAGCACGCGGTGCTGCGCATCGACGAGGGAGTGAAATACATCTTCTGCGGCGGTGAGCGATGAGCTTCGGGGTGATGGGTGGCGGCGTGGCGGGGCATTGAGGGGCAGGGTGGGGATCGGGCAGGGGCTCTTGGATGGACGCACGGTGCTCGTGTGTCGCACAGCTCGTAGCGTGCGCCCTCTGTCTGCAAGCCTCTGCTTCGCACCTCATCCTGCCAATCCGCTATAACATGCTTCCTCAGTCTCACTCTTGTTGCTGCACTTCTCCTCATTCTCCTCAATAGCAGCACCCGTCTCCCATCATGGCACGCTGGGAACGCTCGGGAATCGCATCGATTGTGCACACGGCCGTCTTGTGCGGCGTCTTCGTGCTCCTCCTTCTCGCGACTCGTGAGTTTGACGTGGTGCTGGCATCCAGCGTCGATCTCGCGACTCGCCGCTGCCTGTAGCGGCCTGACGGAACTCCTGGCCCGTCGAGATCACACTCTGCGGCCACACCTGTCTTCGTGCGCTCGCTGCGCTCTCTTTGACACCTCGCGTGCTCCCCTCGCCCCACTCAGACCTGCTCACACCAGTCTCCATTCCCATCCTCCACTGGGCGTATCTTACTGTCGAAGGGAACGGGTACACTGTGACACTTGGGACATTTGGGTGGTGTCGTACAGGCGGCAAGGCGGGCGACTTCTGCAGCGGCCGCTCGATGGGTTACAATGTCCAGGAGGCGGTGCTCCTCACCTTCCCTGAGCGGAGTGGCGTCACGGTCCGCGAATGGTTCAACATGGCGAGCAACGGTCTCATTGCGATTGCGGTTACTGCTGGTGAGCTGGCCCCGCCTGCAACCCCATGATACAGGTGTTTGCGTCAGGCCACCACAGAGTCTCGCCCCCCCCCTCCCCTTCCGCGCTGACAGCAGGCATTGCGGGTCTCGCAACTCTGACCTCGCTTCTCGGCAAGACATCCTTCGCGCTGATCTGGTCCACCCTCTTGGGCATGATCACATGCGTCCTCGCCACCGGCTGCGTCATCCTCAACGGGATTCTCTTCACTGCACTCAAGCGTGACGTCCTCTTAGGCGGCGCTACTTCCGCCACCCTCGGCATGGGATACTGGTTCGTGATCGGCGCGTGTGCAGGCTCCTTCGTCGTACCGGTGCTCGCGGTCATCGAGTGCTGCGCGGGCCAAATCAAGCGTTGGCGCGAGCCCAAGGGCGAGTATGTCAAGATCGACACGCCTGCTGAGAACACACGCAACAGCACATATCGGCAGAGTGCGTACGAGCTGCCCCTGTTCGACTTGGGGCAGGCGCAGCAGGCACAGGCCAATATTGGCGAGTTGGGGACGAGGACGGACGCACCGGCCAACCCGAGTCCTGTCAGAACGAGCGTCTAGATGACGGTGACAAGGGTCCGGGACGTCGCCGCGAAAAGGGGGCATCGTGGCTTGATGGACAGAGGTTCTGGAGATCTGGAGGTGAGATGAGATGGTGACGGATAGACGGCGGCGAACAATCTGTGTATCCCATGAAGTGAGCGCGGGCGTAGATGGAACGTAGAGATAGACTGTGTATGTCAGCTTAGCTGTAATTGTTGCGCCACTGCGGATACGCTCGTCAGGTTGGGGTTCCGCGCGCTCTGGGCCATGGACCATGGGCTATGGACCCATATCGTTATCAGGCTGTACCTGTGCTTTTAGTTCCGCATCCCCTCGAAAAGGGAGATGGATTTGGTCCAGAGTGTTACTTGCAAAGAGAGCACTGGAAGAGCGCATGGAACTGAGACATGGCAGTTAAGGACCGACTCTTGGCTCCAAGCATGTGGAATCATACACACAAGGACATGGCACCCGCTAGAGCATCACGCCCGCTGAAGCCCGCTCGACAAAGCGTCGCGCATTACGAGGGAACGCGAGAACGCGAGAACGCGATTGCCGTGAGAGACGCTGATAAATGCATGATAAATAGCCTCACAAAGCGCGATCACGCACCTGAGACCGGCCCGGTTGGGGAGGGCACTGAATTCCGGTCGTGTTGAATTCATTCAATTCCTGGGATCCTGGGTAAAAGCACGCGACAGCTGCTCCTCATCCACACTTCGCTCGCTCTCTGAACGGCTCACTCGTCTTTCTTCGTGATTCTCTCCTCTCAGTTCTGTGCATTCTTCGACTTCTTCGCCCGCAACTTCGTGGTTACCACTCATCCCCGCGGGGCCATCAAGACACTCCACATTCCGCCGCCACGCCACTTTCCGCACGCGTCGCGCTCGACTTTCACGGCTTCGTACGGCTTGCCAACGGCTGCAGACTTCTCCAACACCACCTTCTCCTCGACGCTCATTGCCTCCAGCAATGCGCATTACCCTCCCCTTGTTTGGAGAGTCGCGCGCATGCCCCCGCTCGCCGGGGGTACAGATGCGCGGGCGGGTGCTCATGCTGCTCTGCCTCCTAGGAGTCTTCTACTTCGTTTGGCCAAGTCCGCCCCTGCCGCCCAGCTATGCGGCTGAGTGGACCAAGGAGCGCCGGCTACCGCAACACAATCGTTGGTTGGCCCCGCCAGAGGGCCGTGACGGGCGATATGTCCGGTGAGGTGCAGAGGAAGCAGCGCTGACGGCAGGTTCGATGCTCCTTCATCTGGTGCGTGCGCCTTCGCCCGCACCTTGAACTTCCTTGCCCCAACTTCTTCACTGACACCAGATTTCCACGGCCAGTTTCAGCACGCCATACTCCAGCACCATGTCGCCGTGTCCTCGAACCGCTCGTACGCATTCTCGCCCATCCGTAACGCAGGCACACTCGAGTCCTGGTCTTGGCCATGGCGGAGTGCACGCATCCCGCTCGGCGCGGTCGCAAGCACAGCTGTGAGCGGCTTTGAGAAGCTTACCGGCCTGCCGCGGGCAGTGAGCGCGTCGCATTACAACAGCGTCTGCCGCCGCGAGCGCGTATACACCGTCCGTGGGCGCGAGTACCCCACCGGCGACCTCGACCTGGCGGCGAGCGGGCAGGCACGACTCGTTCAGCTCGCGGAGGTGCTGGCCGCGGCGGACGGGTGCATTCATCTGCGCGGCGACGTCTTCCCTGCCTCGTTCTTCGACAGCCCCGAGGCCATGGACATGATCCACGAGCTCGTCCACTCCCCCGTCCTCCAGTACTTCTCCTTCGGCCGTCCCGTACTTGACGCTCTCAACCGCGCGCTCCCTGTCATTGCCCCTACCGCCGAGCCGTATGACTTGGAACTTGCAGTGGGCCCCAAGAAGGGTGGCGCACCTCGCATGCCCGCATGGAAGCACATCCTCGCACTCCAAGTACCTCACTCTTCTGACTGGGAGGCGACGTGCGCCTCCTTCGGACCTCGCTCTGCGTGAGCCCTCAAAGTCATGAGCAAGCTGATGCCAGGCCGTTCGTGGGATTCAACAAGCTCCCGCGCCATCCCGGCAACGAGAACGTGCCGCCGCCCGCGGAGATGCCCCCACCCGCCCGCTTTGGCCTGTACGCCGCCAAATGCTCTCCGGGGACGACGGCGATCATCTCCCGTGCGCGCCGGATGCGGAAGAACCACCCCATCCTGCGCGTAATATACCTCGTGACGGATGACGAGGGGTGGGCGGACGAGTTGACGAGATGGCTGCTCAGCGATGGATGGGAGCAGGTATACGTTGCGCCGCGGCTGCACAATGCTTGGAAGGACCAGGAGGTGCGCCCGATGGTCGACACCGAGGTTGCGCGCCGCGCGGGTGTCTTTGTCGGCAACGGAGTGAGTGGGAGACAAAGAGCAGCTGACACCAGTTCACGACGATGGCGAGCAACGTTGCGCTGCTGCGCTCGCGTGATCTCGTGCACCCGGATTTCACGCAGTTCTGGTAGTGGTAGTTGTACAGGGTTATAATTCAGCTGGAATACAACCGCGTCGTCCATACCCCGATGCCGGCAGCGAGGCATGTTGCCATTTTGCGTAGCTTTTAACCTAGCTGGCAGGCGATGCTGGATTACGTTCTTAAGCGAGACGGGAAGCGTTCTCGATGACGCGGGGTAGCGCATCCCGGCGAACCGTCTACCCATGTCAAACCTTCCAACTCGTTTGCGCGGCGGTCACACTGGCATACCCGTGCCCATTCTCCTCCCACCTCCTCCACCTGCCCACGGACTCACGAGCGTCACCGTCTCGGTTCCCGATAAGCCTATCCTATGAGTGGCATGTCAAGTCACAGACTACGGGGACTACGGCGAGCTAAGCTAGGACCGTGTGGATGACATGGTCGGCCACGCTCCCTACGTCATGGCCGGGAAATGCGGCGTCTGGCGGCGCGAATGCCGGTGCATACCGCCGGCGTGGAGCCCGCCCGGGCTACGCGGTTGCGCGATCGCACGAAGGCAAGGCTCGGCCGTGACGCGCGGCTGGCGGTTCGTGACGCGGGGCGGTGTTTGGCGAGGTGAGGTGAGGTGAGGTGAGGTGCGGGGCTTCTGTGTCATGTTCTGTTGCTTCTTGCTGATCGGCGGTTGGCGGGTCTGTCCCGCAGCCACCGCCACCATCCCTCCAGTTACGCCTCCACTATTTGTCAGCGCGGCGCTGTAGCCTGTTGTGGGTGACTAAGTGATACATCGATGCTATAATGACATGCAAAACGATCAAAACGATCCCGACCAAACTCCAGCAGATCAGCAGGCGACGCCGCGTGCGCGCTGGACACGCAGCTTGCGCTCCACGACCATCTTGGCGCGGTCGTATAGCGGCTTGGTGAATGCAATCACGTCGCGGTGGTACTGCACCATCTCGGGCGTCTTGACCAGGACGTCGTCAACGATCTCGTCCTCCACGACAACGACGTCGTCTTCCGGCTCGACGATCTCGGCCGTGTCCTCGGCGTCATCCGATGCGATCGACGATAGCGTGTGCAGGCTGTTACTGCTGTCGGTGCCGCACGAGATGAGGCTCGGCATCTCGGGGGTATGTGACCGCGACGAGGTGAGGGGTGATGCGTCGGTGGGCGACGAGGTGGGCGCGTCCTCGGTAGCCTCGGCAGCCTGGACGGACTCGGAGTCGGGCGCCTCGGCTGGCGGCTCCTTGTCGGTCTCGCTACTTGGCTCGGCGGATGTGGAGGCGGTAGGCTCGAGCTTGGAGTTCTCTAGACTTGAGGCGAGGTGGGCGATCTCGGCGGCGGCGCGCGCGCTCGCGACCTGCTTGGGGGAGATGTAGGGCATGTCGTCGAGGGGAGTGGGGAAAGATGAGAGCTCAACCAGAGCTGATGATAGCGGGGAATGTCGCAAAATTGGGTTGTCAACTGGGAGGATTCTAATATGCTTGAGTACAGTGTCCAAGAGGCCAAGAGGCAACGAGACGAAGAGACGAAGAAGGCCAAGAGCGAAGGGAGTTGAGCGAAGAGAAGAGAGGAGAGATGAGAAGAGAAATAGAAAGCGAGGATGCAAGACGGGAGACGGAGAGTGAGCGATGTGTGATGGATTTGATCGACAGCGAAGGAAGGGTGGGTGGGGGCTGATTTGATTTGGGCAATCTTCTGTACAGTGGGGTGTTTTGCTTTTGCCCTTATCCAAACAAATTTCAGGGTCCAGTCCAAAGGTCGGATGACGCGTGGGATAAGCCTCGGTGCCTTCCCTAATTTCCCTCTGGATCGCCAGCGGGGCGCACTGGCCGCCTCCCTTTTCTCCTTGGGCGCCCTGCCTACCCTGCGGCCTGTGTGCGTGTGGCGTGACGTCAAGAATACGCACCCGGATCGACTCTCCTTTTGCCGTGCCGTCACCTGTCGCTCGCTCATCTCATTTTCCGTTGCCCCTCGTAGCCCCGGACCCACCCGTCTCCGTAGCCCCGACCCTCCCCAACCCCCCAGCCTCCCAACAGACATTGCGCCGCGATGCAGAATTATGCCGCCTTGGCCCGCCCGCGCTCGCGCAGCGTAACTTGACCGCTCTTACTCCGCCATCCGCTATCAAGAGTCTGGATCGCATCCCGATCTCTACCCGGTGACGATGGCCGCATGACCGGCGCGGGCCGGAGACGGAGCGAGGAGAACTGGAGCGGCGGAGCGGGGCCTGGATGGAGCCGCTGGAGCCACAGCTGGACCGGCAACTGGAGCTGCCATTGTACCTAGCTGGAGCTGGAAACAGACCTTCAATCATGCCAGCCACAATCTCCAGGTCATCGCGTCAGCAGTGACGGTTGTGCAGAACACCGAGTCCAGACCTCGTTGCCGGGGACTGGCGGTGGTGGCTCCGGCACGCTCTGTGCTTCGCGCTTCGTGAATCAGGCATCATTCTCGTGCTCGTGCTCGTGAGAATGCGGCGTGGGAGCTCGGCGCGCGATACGACCTAACATGGCGCGCTACGCGGGTGCATGGCCGATTCCACCGTTCAACAGTCCTCTCCCCTGCCGCCGCCACCCGGACCGAGATCTAGATTTTTGGCTGACGTACTGTCGGCGGTGTCGTCTGCGGCGCTCAGTCCCTGACCACCTGCAATCAGTGATGGCAGTGGCATCGCATGGTGGGATAGAGCTAGATCCGCACCGCTGCTGTCGAGTAGCACCCAAGCGGAAGATTCTATTCTGACGTGGGGGTCGCGTGGACCGTGTGAAAATTACTCGTTTACTCGTGGCGATGGCGGCCCAATTCAGTCAGCGGCGGTGGATGACATGTCACGTCCCGAGTAATAATAAATCACGCGCCCCTCGAGATTAAAGTGTTATTTGCGATGGCAAGCTCCTCATTCACTGCCAACGACTAAAAAAGTGCATCCCGCACCTCATAAGTCTCGCTCAGGGCTCACCGCGTCTGACGCTGCTGGAATGTGAGGCCCGCTTCCTTGCCATGGCATGGCCAGCGCCAAGGCTTTGAGCGCCCATTTCACTCACACGCCGATAGGATAAGACATCTGGCTGCTCAGCGTGCCATCGTCCCATGAGATAAGCCAGCACTATCTGAGGCGGACATCGAGGGGTTTCTCTCACATTGATGACGCAGTGGAGTGATTTCCTCCTGCCAAGGTGGGAAATGTGCGCAACGCGCTGAGCGTGTGTGTCTAATGTCAGCCCACGGAGTGCGCCAGCACCCAGACGTGCGATGAGATCTGCTCGTCGAATTGAGATGGTTATCTTCCACGGTGACTTAGACCGGCCAGAGCATCAGCCCACCCAGGCAGGCAGGGCAGTGCATCTTCTGTGCAGCACACACACATAGCGCGACCACAATTATCAACCCACGCAGAGATCAAGTTAGGCGTGAGACCCACGCGCCTCCACCCATCACATCGTCCATGGGAATCCTAATCAACCCGCTTGTTGGACGGAAGCAGGCTTCTGAACTCCTCTCTCTCCCTCTCCATCTCCCTCTCGCCCTCCCACTCGTCCTCTCTCGTCGGCGTGCGCCGGCTCACCCGCGACACCCCGGCGCGGCTAAGCGGGATCTCGTCACTCTGGACCTGCGCATACTCGCCGCGCACCTCGGACTCGCGGCGCCCGCCTAGCGCCCACACGATGCCGCCGCACGCGACGAGGACGGCTGCGGCGAGCGCGAGGAACTCGAGCCCCCGCGTCAACCGCCACGGCCGCGGCGGCGCGGACTCCGCGGGCTCCGTCGGGTCCGGGTACGCCAGGTTGACGCACGCGTCGTCCGCCCCCGCGTAGACTACTGCGTGAGTGCGCACCCAGTGGCCTTTGGCGTCGCGCAGGCGCAGCGAGACGCGTGTGCCCGCCGGCGCGTCGACCGTCCATTCGGCGAAGCGGTTCTGCGTCGAGTTCGCAATGTGCGAGATGCCGTCCGGGTTGCGCGAGTCCTCCTGCGCCCACCTGATGACGTTAGAGTTGCTATAAGACTGGATGCAACAGCGGCCAGATGGCATGGATTCACTCACACTCGGAATGGCGAGTTGCCGCCCTTCCAATGCAACGTGGCCTTCTCGCACTGCACAAGCGTCGGGACTGTAAGAATGATCTTGACGTGCGACTTGGCGTCTGCCGTGTCGGCGCTAAAGAGCGTAGCCCAGATGAGTAGAACTGGGGCGAGGAGACGCATGGCGAGGGGATGGCAGGGGCAGCGGGGAGGGAGGCTGAGGGACTGGGGATCGTCGGCGCTGTGCTCAAGACTGGCAGCCTGGCAGCCTAAAAGACGGCGATTAAGAAGACAAGTAGAGTGCTCAACCACGAGATTTTCGCAACGTTGAAGATGATAAAGATGAAGATCGAAGCGACCGACCTGAACGAGTGCTATATCGAGCGACGATCCAAGAAATCTCGTTGCAGGGGTATGACGTGTGGAGCGGCCGAGGGGCCGAAGCGTATCAGATAATGGTGCCTGGGCGAAAGTCGGCCGAAGTAGGTTTCACCTAAACCCCCCCCCCCCCCCGCATCGTGTCCATTGTATACATGGCAAGAAGCATGCTAGAGAAAGGTGTGCGTCTCTCGACATCGGAAGTAGTGTCCATTGCGTCGTGTCGTTTCGTACTGTAGTCTATGGAAGGATGGTGCATGATGCTGTGTCCCTGGCGGGCTAAGGCTCGCTCAAGATCTTGTCAATGTTCTCGTTCAGCCACGCCGCGCGCTCCTTGAGGTTGGCGTTGGGGAATAGTCCGTACATGGCATCGCGGGCTGACCGTTTCGTGCTGGGGTAAGCAGAGGTCTGCGAATCTCGCTCCAATAGCACTTACACAGTCATCAGATCCTGCGAATTCAGGTAGGTGCGCAGCGTCGACAGCACCGTCTCGTCCGTTGGGCTGGGGTCCGTGTTAGGCGCCGGGCCGCTCTGGAAGGGGTTCGCTGTCGTAGCGAGCGAGTAGGTTGAGCCGCGCATGCCGTAGCCCGGACCCATCATGCCGCCCTGCGTGAAGACGGTTGGGGGGCGGAGGGAAGCCATGTCAGAGCCCATGCCGGGAGAGTCGAATGGGTTGGGCCCAAACGCCATGGGCGGTGGCGCAAACGGTTGCGAATACACGCTACCCGTGCGCCAGTCGCCGCCGCCCATACCCATCTGCGGGTACTGCGGGAGCGGGGATGGCCCGCGCGATGAGTAGCCCGAGCCGGGGACGAGGTTAGAGTGCGAGTTGCTCGAGTGCACAGAAGGTGCGAAGCGCTTGCGTCCACGCGCCCGCGAGGATTGCGATGGAGCGTACTCGTCTTTCTCCATGTCTGAGGGAAGCGAGGTTGTCTCCCACGCGTTGGCCTCGTACTCCTTGAAGGTGCGGTAAGGGATGGTCGACTCCTCAAACACCTCATCGTCCTCGATCACGACCGTCTTGCTGCTACCCTCACCGACGATCTGGCGCGTGTTACCCCAGGAGAAGTCGTCCATGGACCAGAACGAGTAGCAGGGCAGGAAGAACGAGTAGACCGGGAAGGCGAGAATGTAGACGAACATCCAACCGATAAGCATGAACTCGCGTTTGAGCACGAAGAGGATCATTTGCAGACCGTACACGGCCGCAATCATGCCAATGGAGATGTAGGGGATCGGGGCAGCCTTGGTCGCGCACACAACGATGAGGTAGATCAGGTACGTACACGTCGCTGGCAGGATGATGGTACCCAGCAGGTCGACGAAGACGACGAAGCGCATCGAGAACAAGCAGAAGCCGCACATCTCGGGGAGGAAGAGCAGCTCGACGAGGTTGTGGATAGTCGAGTTGATCCAGCGACGACGCTGAGAGAGCAGGACCTTCCAGCGCGACGGCGCGACGGTATGGGCAATGGCGTCGGGTGTAAACTTCATCTTGTAGGTCGGGAAGTGCTTCATCATAAGAGTCGTGAGGTAGCGATCCTCTCCGAGCGAGAAGAGGTTCTTCTTGTGCAGCGTGTCGACATTAGGCTCAGAGTACTCATCAATGATCATGGACGAGATCAAGACGGGGCGACCCTTGTCGGCGGTACGGATGCGGTAGACCGAGAAACAGCCGGGAAGACAGGTAACCGAGCCGAAGAGCGATTCGAAGGCCTTCGTCAGGTGGTGCGAGATATAGTACTCGTAGACTTGGATCATTGTCGTCAACGACTCGCGCTCGTTCTCGAGGCGCGTCTCGCCACAGATACCGATGATGGCCGAGTCGTCGGTGGTGCACGAGATGAGACGGTTCAGCGACTCGGGCGTCACAGTCGTATCGGCGTCGACTTGGAAGATGTATTCGTAGAATGTGGGGTCGATACCGATGACGTTGCGCATCTGGTGGTAGATTTCAAGTTCCAGTGGGCACATGGGTGCGTCAAAGTGGACGCGGTTGAGGTACTGCATGAGGAGCACCTGTGAGTCACGCTTGCCACGGTTACCAGGCTTGGACGTCTCCGTAGGCTTGCCAACCTTGACAACGACGACGTAGGGCACGACGTGACCCTCGTACTCGTACAGACCGGAGTAGATCTTGCCATAGTTGAGCTTCTTGCTGCCGTCACCGATACTCTTGAACATGAGCGGCTCCGGGTCCAGCTTGGGGTCGACGCCGAGGATGTCGAGCACGATACGCGGCGTTGTTCGATTGTTGCCTGCACCAATAATGTTCCCGTCGCAAATAATGAAGATGAGCTTGCGCTTGTCGTCGTACTCGAGGACAGCCAGCGAGTCGATTGTCCGTTTGAGCGACTGCTCTCCCTCAGTGTAACAAGGCACTTGACAGATGACGAACTTGTCCAGCATCTCCGGGTTGCGCTTGCCGCCGAGTTGAAGTGCAGCGAGGAACTTTGCACCGATCGTCACCATGATGAGGATGGCGAACGCCATGAGGAGGTAGTTTTGCACGGTACACTTGGCGTCCTTACGGAAGTCAATGATCCCGTAGTAGAAAACAGCGTCAAGACAGTTCATGTTGTTGTCTGCTTCCTCCTGTGAGAGGCCCGCGAGCACCTCATCAAGCTGCGTGCTGACGTCTCGACCAGTGTTTTGCTGGATGATCTTGGTGATCTCACTGTTAAGGAAGGCGTATCCATCGTTGGCCGCACCGGCGTAGAGGCTGAGTGTAGCCACATAGTCCGAAATGTCGTACACCTTTCGGTGGTAAACGACCCAATACTTCTTGTCCTCGTCCTTGGCGCCCGATTCAATCTCGCCCCTGGTCCAAACGAGCTGGCCCTTGTAGATCTTCTTTAGGAACGGGCTGAGGTCATCCCACCACCATCGGGGATTCGTCATGGCGGTCTCTGGGACACTCTGTAGTGGGCCCGAAGTGTGGACAGCCCGCGGGTCGAGAGGAGTAAAGTTGGCCATTTGCAGGACGAGCCGGTCGTTGTCAACAAGCTGCGGGCATGCCTGGTACAGCGGCTTGGGGAAGTAGCGAGTGAGCTCTCCGCCGGCGAACTGCATCATGACATCGCCCGAGACAGTCAGCGAGGCAACATCCGAGTGATCGTTATCCCAGAACTTTGTGAAGTCGTAGACGTTGCCCGCGATGGCTGCAAAATAGTCATTTTCGCCCTGGTGCGTCGCGAGCTCCACTCTGTTCCACGCCTTGTCCATGTCGGGGCAGAGGATTCGGCCAAACCCGATAATGTAGAAGATGATGGTGCCGCACACGATGAAGATCATCATGCAGATGGTGACCTTTTCGCGCCAGGCCATGCGGACATCAGGACGCTTCATGCGACCAATCGACTTGAGCAGGAAGCTTGGGATCCACCAGGTGAACATCCACGTGATGTAAATCCACCAGCGGCGCGCCCGCGACGTAGCGATGACCTCGGTCGTGTGGTGCTTCTTTTCTTTCGTGACAAAGCCCTTTGTGTCGCTGCGCGCCAAAGTGTCGCCACCAGCGTGCCCTGCTTTCTCTGCTTCAGGCAGCTCGTCGTAGGAGAACTGGCCGCCCCGAGCAGCGTATATGCCGTCAGCCCCGGGTTCGGGGCTGGCACCGTAGCTGTCGTACCCGCGATACCCCTGGGTGCCCTGTGTCCCCTGGCGCGCCAGCAAGTTGTCCATGCTTTCGGTGGTACCGTAGTGCCCGACGCTGCTGCCCATTCGCGAGTCAAACTGCTGGTGCGGAGGGTAAGTATTCTCCTCGTCGGTCAAGGTCTCCTCGCCGCTGCCGCGACGCGACTCGGTGGCGCGGATGAGGTCCTCCTGCTCGCGCCATGCCGAGAACGATAGCCACACCCGGCTGTTGCCGATTGAATAGTCAGCTCCAGGCATCCAGCCATGCGAGCGCGCAAACTCTTCAACGTGCTCGTGCACGTTATCGGCGGGGAGCGAGTGGCGGACGCAGAAGTCCTCCAGAGGAATTTCAGCGACGTAGTCAATTTGACGGCGGTTGATTAGGTCGGGTAGGAGAAGCGAGCGGACCTGTGCCTTGATGCGTCGCCTGTCAAACGAGTTGGCGTGACCGGAGTCGTTGGGCCGCAAGCAGTGCACACCCCAGACGCGTGTGCGGTCAATTGTGTCGAACAGGGTGGACAGTGTGCCGTTGATCTGCGCCGTGACCGGCTGAGGGCACCCGTCGTCAATGGGCCAGTGAGCCGACTTCTGCGCGGGAGTGCCAGCCATGCGGTGGGCATCGACGGCGGTGGGGGTACGCAGAGGCGAGACGGATACCTGGGCCTCGACGACAATCTCGGAATCCAACGGGTGTCCCTCCGTAGCGAGAGCGGGTCCCGACACCAGCTTGGTGATGAAGGGGTCCACCGAACCGCGGAGGAGGTTGACAAGCTGCTTGTCGAGCACGTCGGCGTTGCGGTCGAGGAAGTCGGTGGCGTCGTATGACACCTGGCCTGCCCAATGGTTGATACCAAACATGCGCCCCTCGCGCGGTGTGGGGCCGAGACCAAACCCAGGCTTGGGAATATATGATGGGTGTCCCGTGAAGGTAGAGGCAAAGCCACGAGTCACGACGTCGGCCTTGACCTCCTCCCGGTCCTCGCCCTTGTACCGCTCGCCAGCCTGGGCGAGCAGGCCAATCATGCCCGTGGGGTTGGCAGCCAGCTGTGGGATGCCCATGACGCCGCCGCGAAGCAGCTCAACGCAGCCGATGTTGTTCAAGGTCTGCACTGCGGGAAGCTTGACTCCGTCCGCAACAATGTCAGCGTTCCAGCTGAGGTCGTCGTCGAATGTCCGGCGAAGCATGTACGAGTGAAGCACCTCGCTGGCAAAGTTGACGCTGAACTCGTAGAAGCCGTTCTGTCCGTTGGCTTGGATCAGCGGGGCGGCCGTGAGAAGATGTTGCCGCCGTGGGTCGACCTCGGCAGCCAGCGTGCGGCTCTGCCAGCCGGGAAGGTCGAGCTGGGCTATCTGCAGCGATACCGAATCGGGCGCAAGACGCTTGTTGGCCATCTCAAGGACGAATGCGAACAAAATGGCGTACAGGTCGCGCATGAGCGAGTCGCGCTGGCTAGCCGCACCCTCGGCGTCAAGGAAGACGGAGGCTAGGTCGTGCGAGACCCACTTGGTCCTGTTGGTCAGAACTTCGGCGAGCTCCTCAGGGTCAACACCGAGGTGAATCGAGACGTGGTTGAGAAGCTCGTGCTCAACAACCTGGGTGCGCTCCTCGAAAGAAGTCATGCCCAGCGAGCCGGCTTGGCGGGTGTCGGTAAACGTAAGGTTGGAGAGGTTCAGGATAGCGACGAGCACGGAGAAAATGGACCTGACGTGCTTGGGCTTCAACCCCAGCGATGCGAATGCCGCGCGTAGCTCGCCGAGCTGTGTCGCGTCATCGGAGAAGGGCCCGTTGGGCAAGTTGTAGCACCCGCTGGACGCGAGCAGCGCGTACATATCCGGGTCATCAATGCCGAGCTCTTCACGTTCCATTGGCGTTGCGCCAGCGAGCAGCTGGTAGAAAACATGGAATGTGCGTTCCTCGTGCAACAGTTGGCCGATGCGTGACTTGTTGAGCCCCATGACCAGCGCCTGGGCGCCTGTCAACGCACCATCTGGGCTAAAGTGTAGCTCGAGGTACTTGCCGACCTGCGATGCTGAGGGGTTGAGGGCCGTCTTCGAATGTCCAAATGCCTCGAGCACTGTAAGGAGCTGAGTGATCTGATCGCCGAGGCGGCGCTGCGCCTTGGTGGTCGATGCGAGATGGATAATCTGTGACGTGGTGTGCCGCATTGTTGAGCTCTTACCTGAGCCCGACAAACCACTGCTTGTCAGCTGGGGCCGCAGACGGCCACTCACTGGTACAGCACCGTCTGATCCTCCTGCTTGCGAGACATGAGAAGCCACACACGGCCAGCCAGCTCATAAGCGCTGGGCTGGCGCGAGTTGCCCAAGCCTCCGTCTGGACGCTCAATGTCCTCCTGGTAACCTCGACGGTGTTCCTCATTGAGGCCCGAGAGTACACGCAATGGGTTTACGACGACATAGTCGGTGCCCGAGGGTGACACGCGGGTAAAAGGAAGCTCTGCACGAGCGCGGGCGTGGAGGAGGGCGGCGATGGTGTCCTCGGAGGGCATGCGGGCCTGTCCGCCGTCATCATGGCCGATGAGAGACGAAAGGTCGGCATGCTGCGCCGCCTTTGACGCCGGGAAGGGGTTGGCCGCCATGTGCGCAATGCGCTTTGAAGAGGATAATGCAGCGCGTGAGGGAACGTGACAGGCCAAGTGGCGAGGGCTGAAGTTGAGTGCAGGAGAGGAAGAGGGAGGAGGGAGATGGTGATGGAGGGGGCGGCAGCGGGGGCGGGGGCAGGGGCAGGGGAGATACGAAGGCCAACGTGGAGTGGGGCGGCGCTAACACGACAGAAGGGGGCGGTGAGTGAAGGAATGAAATGAATTCTTCGGTGGTCGCCGGCGGAAGCGAGAGGGATGTTGAGGGTGAGATGGCGCACTGCGTCTAGTTTGAGGAAAGTGGTTGGGATGA